CTTTTTATGCTTCCTGGTTGCAGCAAAATTTGCTGATTTGGCTTTCGGAAACAACCTATTAAGGTCAAGATCTTTCCATGTGTGTGGCAATCCCGCCACATACAGTAATAAGGGATCCAAGGGAGCTGGAATAGAAAAATACACCAGGTATCAACACTAGAAGTAACTTATTGTGTTCTAGCATCCAGCTTCAATTCACATGACTTGATCAGACAATTGTCCAACCCCTTATTCCAACAATAAAGTTGGTGTCTCACAAGGTTTTACGACTTAATCATATACACATTTCTAAATAAACAGTATTGATTAACCCTTAACAGCTGACCTATCATATAACACACAGTTTTAAAGTTAATTACACATTGTGAAACTAGTTAATTTTCAGTCACATGGTAGACTCGCACAGAACTATGTCAGCTTTCAGCTAATGTTGTTTTTCTCATTTTCATTATATAATTTTAGTTTAAAAAAACTTCCCAAAGCATAACATCACTATCCTTTTGAACAACACACTTTAATTATGATCTCATGTGTAAAAGGTAATATCATGGATGTTTTACAGAGTAACAGTCATATGTTGTTTGGATAATAAAATCAGATAGGGAATGAAATGAACCAGAGATATTCATTTAACAGNCCAGGTATAGGGCCATTCCCCATAGCCATTCTGGTAGCATAATTCATATACTTCAAATACAACTAGATCTGTTACATGACTTTCATTTGTAAACACCAGGAAAAGGAGATGTCCACAAAATCAGAGTCTGTATTGATGTAGCACTATTTCTTGACCCATAACAACATGGTTAGGTCATTTTGGGCTCAAAGTAGTGCAAGTACATGGACAAGGTACATTGTGTTCAGTAGAATTAATGTTAACTCCCTCAGCAAATAATACATAAGAATGTCAAGTGCAGTATTTCATCTACTCAAATCAAAGGAATGAAATCTAGTTTTACCATATGATCACCTTCATATAAATTGGTCACACCAACATTGACAAGAAACCCAAAAGACCCTGGACTGCTCTGCTCACCTACATTGATTGCTCACCTAGATATTACTAATCATTGGAAAATATTCTCATTAGAAGTAGAAACTTAGTATTGGATATGAGATCCCAGGTATAGGGCCATTCCCCATAGCCATCCTTGTAGCATAATTCATATACTTTAAATACAACTAGATCTGTTACATGACTTTCATTTGTAAACACCAGGAAATGTAAATGTCCACAAAATCAGAGTCTGTATTGATGTAACACTATTTCTTGACCCATAACAACATGGTCAGGTCATTTTGGGCTCAAAGTAGTGCAAATACAAGGTACATTGCGGTAGGTGGAAGCAACTCCCTCAGCAAATAGTACACAAGAATGTCAACAGCAGTATTTTACTGACTGAAAATCAAAATCACTTTTATATTGATCCATGAAAACTGTCAAACCACTAATTATTGATGATTTCAGGAAACGTAACGTCTTGCCCACTTTCAAAGGGGTCAATGCCATGAAAAGGGGGAGGGGGTTCTCCCAACTAGAAATTTCCTTGGGGGGAGGGATTATGTTGGTTACAATTTCTTGAAACTTTTGTTTTCACTTAGGCAATTGGTAAATAGTTTTCCATTGGCCTGCAGACATATACTACAGTACTTTAAATTTGTCACATGACTTTCATTTGTAAACACCAGGAAATGTAAATGTCCACAAAATCAGAGTCTGTATTGATGTAGCACTATTTCTTGACCCAGAACAACATGGTCAAGTCATTTTGGGCTCAAAGTAGTGCAAGTACAAGGTACATTGTGTTCAGTAGAAGTAATGTTAACTCCCTCAGCAAATATTACATAAGAATGTCAAGTGCAGCATTTCATCTACTCAAATCAAAGGAATGAAATCTAGTTTTACCATATGATCACCTTCATATAAATTGGTCACACCAACATTGACAAGAAACCCAAAAGACCCTGGACTGCTCACCTAGATATGTATGACCATTTTAAAATATTCTCATTAGAAGTAGTAACTTAGTATTGGATACGAGATCCCAGGTATAGGGCCATTCCCCATAGCCATTCTGGTAGCATAATTCATATACTTCAAATACAACTAGATCTGTTACATGACTTTCATTTGTAAACACCAGGAAATGTAAATGTCCACAAAATCAGAGTCTGTATTGATGTAGCACTATTTCTTGACCCATAACAACATGGTCAGGTCATTTTGGGCTCAAAGTAGTGTAGAAACAACTACCACAGCAAATAATACACTAGAGAAAATCATCTTAAGTATTTAATTGACTCCTATATTTTGGATGACATCTAGTAGTACAATAAATGAATACCCTTATAGGAAACTGTCATACCACCCTCTTCATTGATAAGAAACCAAAAGACCCTTGATTGCTCACCTAGATATGTATGACCTTTTTAAAATATTCTCATTAGAAGTAGTAACTTAGTATTGGATATGAGATCCCAGGTATAGGGCCATTCCCCATAGCCATCCTGGTAGCGTAATTCATATACTTGAAATACAACTAGATCTGTTACATGACTTTCATTTGTAAACACCAGGAAATGTAAATGTCCACAAAATCAGTCTGTATTGATGTAGCACTATTTCTTGACCCATAACAACATGGTCAGGTCATTTTGGGCTCAAAGTAGTGCATATCATGACTACAACTAAAGAGACGGAGGTATATTTATGGTCATATTATTAGCCATGGCCACATGTTATTTTCTATCTACTCATTAAATGATAGGTATCAAAAACACTTCTTTACATATATTTTATTTTAAACATGGAGAAAAATTTCAGCTACAAACTCAGGGTAAACAATGAAAAAATAAGACTATAAATATGTCAGTAAGACACAATGACCCCGCTCCATGAATTAGTGTTTTTATTTGGCAATTTCTAAAAATATTTACAGTAAAGTTGGCCTTAATTATGGACTCCTGAAATAGAGTTTGCGAAGTATTCTCATGATTGCCTTTGTATAAAGTGTTATCAACATCATTTCAGAAATGAAGTTGCTGGAGTGATGACACTGAATCATGCATGACAGGATGGTACAAACTGAGGTAACATCAATCTACCCCCCCCTCCAAATAATGACAATAATTGTTCAAACTAAAAGCTAACTGTATATCCCGTTCAACAATGATATTCAACATTGATCTTTATGTCATTCATACTAGGAATTTATCTGTTACATGACTTTCATTTGTAAACACCAGGAAATAGAGATGTCCACAAAATCAGAGTCTGTATTGATGTAGCACTATTGCTTGACCCATAACAACATGTTGGAGGTTGTTGTGGGCTCAAAATAGTGCACTTTTATAACTATGGATTTGCAAACCATGATGAACATAATGAACAGGCACATTACTTCAGAGTCCTTTTACTGATATTACTGGGAACAAATACATATTGTGCTATTCCGTCTTTGCTTATTGCATAGTTATCTTCTCTTGTGAGCAGGTAATGATTGTTACGTCATTGGTTTGTGTGAGAAAATGACGTCGTTTTCTCAAAAACTGATGACGTTACTCTCACAAACAAATGACGTAACAATCAATACCTGCTCACATGAGAAGATAACTCTGCAATACGCAAAGACGGAATACAACTTACCTCAGACTTTCCTTTTGGGAGCCAAGATGTGATCTGTGAAAAACTTCTATAACATCTTTTGATAATACTCTTAAATCGTCTGGTTTTGTTTTTTTCGGGAAATTTTTCACAAACAATGACCTCCTGTCAAGATCATCTGAAAAACAACCATGATATTGATATTGACATTTTTTGTTGTTTTTTTGTTTTACGGCGCATCGACAGTATAAGTCATTAAGAGGCCAAAATGATATTAATAATGAAACATTGAAGAAAGTATGACATACAGATGACAAATAAGATATTTCCACTGATAATTTTCATTAAGAAGTGTTGAAACCTAAATACTGATTCAGGGTAGTCATTATGAAATTCATTTCCCTTAGTAAATAAGTGAATGATGAATATAGTGGGCATATAGTTTACATACTTCAATTCACTCCATCGAAATTCAGAGTAACATGCTAATATGAATGCAGGGTAAGTCAATGCATTAGCCCATCCAAGGAAATCAAGTGATTTTAAGTAAAAAGCCAATGGGCCCTTATGATCACCTGTGGTTTAATACACTTGTTTTCTGCTGTTTCATCATGACACAGAAATTATCAAGCAGTACATACAATGCAAATTTGCCCACTGTTAATTCAGACAAATAATCTTGGGGAGTGATGAACATATCTTTGCATAACTGACAAGTGTCAGGAAACAAACAAAGCCTAAATCCTCTTCTCTAATTTCCAGTATACAAAGTGTATCTCTTATAAAATGTTGATTATGATGGAATAACAACATAACCTCAAAGTTAAACAAAACTTGATTTTTGACCAACTTATTTCACCTCTTTTTGTAAGGTCATCATTGTCATTCCATCGAAATTGTATATACTATACTATACTATCTAAAAGGAGTATATTTGATTCAAGGATTTCTGGATATGAAAAGTAAAGTTTTTGAATATTTAGCATATGGGATAAAATCGGCAATGCGGTGCCCTAAAATGAAATGCGCGCCTAGTAATCATTTATTTTGGGCCTAACAGTACCATGGAGCATATATACCATATTTAGCCGCAAATGCCATCTTGTACTTTTTTATTACAAAATTAGGGAGAGGGCTTGATAGCAGGCACCCAACCTGTTCCCAGGACATTTTTGCCAAAGTGGGAAAGGGGTTTATTTGTGAGAGGGGTCTCATTTGCGGTCAAATATAGTATATTCTTTGGATTACATTGGGAGTTTATCTTTATCTGTCACATGACTTTCATTTGTAAACACGAGAAAAAAGAAATGTCAACAAAATCAGAGTCTGTATTGATGTAGCACTATTTCTTGACCCATAACAACATGGTCAGGTCATTTTGGGCTCAAAGTAGTGCAAGTAATAGGTTCATTGTATATATATTAGCCTAAAGCAACTAGCTACACGAAAAATACTGTCAAAACACAGATAATTGTCAACTAAATAAAACAGGCATCCTGTCAACTTTCATAACATTGAATTGCCACAAAACAAAACAAATACTACTTCTCATTAAATCCTGGTTAAGACTAATTCACCCATTAAGTTTTCACCCATTAAGTTTTTCAATTTCTCAAAATATCATCATTTATACTATCAGAAAGGAAATAAATTTTCATGTACATCACAATGATTCAGTACCTTTCCAGTCCATATCCTGTTTCTTAAGAGATGTTTGTGTCCCAACTGAAAGACAAAGTCATAGATATGTGATATAAGGTAAAATAAGATCAATCTTAAACATATGTAGTCATGTTTCAAAATTCATGCCACCACGTACAATTATCAGCCCAAAATGGACCACATTTGAATCAGCTAGATATAAAGGACAGAAACTTACCCCACAACAGAAACAAAGAGCTGTTGGAGAACAGCATAGCTCGTCTATTGGCGAAATATGTTGTACTTAGATAGCAAATATCAATAGAAACACAGTCATGAACAGTAAAACCTTGATGTAATGCCCGTCATTTCATTTGCCACCACGCTAACCACCAACATATGTCAAGGTTCCAAGGTGACAATATAACAAGGTTTTACTGTACCTTAATGTGTTGTACATTTCAAAAGAAGAGATTACCAGACAAATATAAAACTAAAATAAAATGTTCAAATCATATGAGACAATTATGGTATTCAAAGAAAATCCTCAGATATACACTTGTACATCAGTTTATGATTTTAAAGTTAGAATCCTTCTGCATTTCTAATAAAATATTTATTAATTCACATTATCAGAAAGCAATTTACATTTTACATTTATGTCACAATAATACTGTACCTTTCCAGTCCATGTCCTGTTTCTTCAGAGACGTATTATGTGTAACAACTGAAAGACAAAGTCACATATAGGTGATACAATTCATTTTGACAAAAGTCATATACATCCTATAACCCCCTTTGTTTCCGACTCCTAAGCCTCCAAGTGGGAGTTGGGGATTACCACACATTGATAGCAATAAATATTTTCTGATCCCCATCGTGTACGAATCATCTATGCCAAGTATGGTCTTAGACCATCAAAGGTAAAGTTAAATTTTAAAAGTGTACGCATGATGACAAATAAGTATGATCTCATTAGGTAACCCTGACACTTCATTCATGTAGGGTGACCTGTAAATGAGCAAGGGGCCTTAACTCCGTCTCAGAAGACAAATTTGTTGGAGCTCTATTTGAACGTTTGACCAGTACCAAAAAGACAATAGATAACCGACATATGAAAGCTAATAATGACCATGATACAGCCCATCATTGACCAGCATATAAAAAGTACCTGTATTTTCTTTGTTCTGCTCCTCCTCTTCCTTCTTCTCATCATCTTCATCCTCCTCCTCATCTTCATCATCATCATCATCATCATCATCATCATCATCATCATCATCATCATCATCATCATCATCTTCATCCTCCTCCTCATCTAAGTCATCACTTTCCATGTCTAAGAAACAAAGCAACTCAATTTTGGGTAATATCCAAAATGTTACAATTTTCAGTTGTGAATATACCAAAATGCCTTATTTGCTAGCATTGTTCACATGTTATTCAAACCTTTCAAAAAAGTTTTACACTTCAAAATGGATCAAGGTCGAAATTAGATTAACTAACTAATTAGAAAGCGACCTCTATTTACAGGCCAAATAGCAATCCTCTACAACTAATATACAGTGTGTCTGACTATTTTACTCATGGGACATGCAAAGTTGGTCAAGATAATTTATTTGAACCAACAATTGTGTTATCACAGCTCATTACAGAATGAATGGTTCTACTCTAGCTACGTGTGGCCAAATCTTAGGACTAATTGGCTTTCATGCCAGCAAGCTTTGGCAAATCATCACCAGAGGCTATTCGACATTTAAAAAGAAGTTAATTGTTAAAGAAAAAGTTGATGGACAGATGAGAGATGACAGATGTGGCAGTTTTAGCAAAACCTCACCTTGGTTTATAGACATAAATATAAAATAATAGCTAATAGCTGTTGTACATACCAATATCGTCATCATCCTCTTCACTGTCATCTTGATCTAGTATTGCTTTGCCTTTTAATAGGAAAATCAATGGGAAATCTTTATGCAAGAAAATGTCATGATTTGTTTTTGTGAAATTCTTTGCAGATTTATAAGATACCATACTTAGAGTCATGCATTTGTCAATTAAAATTCATTATCTGGTTGAAACAAAAATGATCTAATCAAGGGTAAATGATAGGATTTTACCAGCAGGACTAAATAGCACACACACACACACTACAACAACCAACCAACAATGAAACGAGTTTTTCTTGGTTTCCGCAACATTTTGAAATGTAACTTTGGTTTAAGGTTAGCATTTGCATCCACTATAATTCTGATGCGCAAGCATATTAACATGGGGAACAGATTCCTATTAAAATGAACTGTCCGACAGGAAAATTAAAGAATCTTAAGAAGTGGCTTGACTGTTATTGCAGACCAAGTTCAGGTTGAGATATGCTTTCCTTATTTTCCTCACTCATACAAAATCTTTTAGACCATACAATCAGACAATGAATTAATACGATACAGGTACAGTGTCTAGAAAAACACTACTGCATTGGCTCAGTTGTGATACCATAAAATACAGGCTGGATTTCTTGATTTTCACTTTTTTAATTATATTAAGATATGCTTGTTGAAAACAGTCAAATAATATTAAATTTTCAATAAAGGAACAACTATTAGACTTTGTAAAATTCAGCACCAGACTATCAGAAATATAATGGCCATTCAAAACTTACTTGCACTTTCCAAGTCACTATCAGCATCACTTTCATCAAAATTAGCCTCTTCCATTTCCAATTTCTGTTTTGGAGTCAGTGGTTTTGCTTTTGTTAAACCATTATAATTAACTGGGGTTTGCACTTTAGCAGGAGTTTTTGTCTTCTGAGCTGGAGTTTGTACCTTAGGAGTTTTTGTCGTTAGGTTTGGAGTTTGCACTTTAGCAGGTGTTTTTGTCTTCTGAGCTGGAGTTTGTACCTTAGGAGTTTTTGTCGTTGGGTTTGGAGTTTGCACTTTAGCAGGCGTTTTTGTCTTCTGAGCTGGAGTTTGCACCGTGGGAGTTTTTGTTGTTAGGTTTGGAGTTTGCACTTTAGCAGGTGTTTTTGTCTTCTGAGCTGGAGTTTGTACCTTAGGAGTTTTTGTCGTTGGGTTTGGAGTTTGCACTTTGGCAGGCGTTTTTGTCGTCACAGCTGGAGTTTGCACCCTGGGAGTTTTTGTTGTTGGGTTTGGAGTTTGCACTTTAGTAGGTGTTTTTGTCTTTTGAGCTGGAGTTTGTACCTTGGGAGCTTTTGTTGTTGGGTTTGGTGTTTGCACTTCTGCAGGTGTTTTTGAAGTTGGCTTTGGTGTCTGTATTTTGGGTGTTTTTGCCTTAGGATTGGGAGTTTGAACTTTCTTTGCTGGTGTGTTTTTTCTGCCTACAAAATGGAAAATAATTTCAGAACTGATAGTCATATTAATAAACCTAGCTATATCAATATCAGTTTTAAAGTAATACAACGTCTTTTAGCAATTTAAATAAATCACAAGCTTACAACCATATCTGTTCTAGCAAAGGCTGCAAGGGTATATATCTGTTACAGTCAATTTGTACAGTATACCAATTATATTTCGTCCAATGATAAATGATATTGCGATATAAAACTGGAGTACCTGCAGTATGTCATTTTTTCCAAACCTGCAAACACATGTTATAAAACTACCATTCCAACAAAACATGACTATTGTCATCCTGTGGAATAATGAAAACGAAAGTGGCTAATTTTTTGCACATTAAAATCAAAACCTACCGCCCTCAGAATCGGGGCAATTCTACCTTTAACTACAATACATCTTAGGGAAATCTGACCGTTAGAGACGTTTGTTGCAAGATACATTTCAATATAGTATAAATTAAAATGAATTATGGGAACTAAACATCTGCCAATCAACCAACACTAATCAATATCAACTGGAACAATGGACCACCAATTTCTTTTTTTCAATAGCAGTTAATAATTTTATTAAAATTGAACTTAACTTTGTTTATTATCTGTTCACAACCACATTATGATGTTTAAGTTTAATTTGTTATTTTATAATTCTTTCAACAAGCACCATAATCCACTTGTACTACTGAATTTGGCAATATATTCAATATCAATCAATACACTGGGATACTCTTTAAGTCATTGTTATATTCCAGAACTTAGCATTATCATTAAACTTGTGCATCAGTGCTTCACAAGACAAATTATCCTAACCAATGTTAAAGATAAACGTATTGAGTTATGTTAACTTATACCTTGAGTCATGTTTTAAGCTCATTTGAGTTGATGTAAATTCACTTAAGATAACATTTGGGTGGTTGGTAGGCGCAATGGTTAACGCACTTGCCTTTCACCAAGGCGATCAGGGTTTGATTCCCTGATCAGACATGAAAAGGTATGGGGTCATCTGCCTGACCACACATTTTCTCTGGGTACCCTGGTTTCCTCCCATATTAGGATCCCCCGTGTGTTTACTTCACGGCGAACAAGAGGGATTAATATAATTTGAAATAACATGTTTTTTATATTGTTATAAAATAAATAAAGTTTATATACTTAAAATAACAATTAGTTTACAGCTTACATTTGAAGTTGAATGATTGGGTGTTCACTGATATAAAATGTATATTGACAAGTTTATATGATGCTTACCTTTCAATACTGCAACATTTTCAGAATCTTCAGCATCCTAAATAAAAAAGAGAAAAATTGTTCAAAAGATAGAATATTATTGTAACAACTGGTCAAGTTCACATTTTCATGACCATGTGGACAACATTTCACTGAAATCAATAAAGAATTAGAGCAAAATTGTCCAAATGAATATTATTGTAACAACTGGTTAAGTATTGTAGAAGTAATGTACAATGTATGTCATAAAATTGAAATAGCTTTAAACCCATGACTCCAACTAAAAAGGTTGAAATGTAAACTGAATCATTGCAACTGCACAAAATTCACATTTTAATGACCATGTGAACAACATTTCACTGAAATCAATAAAGAGTTAGAGAACACTATAGAAAAGAGTGTACTTGAAAATCAGAAAAGACAGAAGGAATACATAAAAGTCCAAGTGGACATACAGCCCTTTCCTGGATTGTTATTAAATGTATCCCGGGTATGTACAAATTAGGTAGACTGGATGAGCTTTACTAATTTCTGTAACTTGTAAGTTTTATGTTGGTTATGCTATTTTTTCCAACATAATACTTTAGTTCTTGTACACTCTGCAGCAAAATTCAAATACAGGATTGAAATTTAAGTGACTACTTTTAAGATGTTGTTTTAATACTTTAGCATATTTGACCCCTGTGGCTCTGAAAGTAGGTGAAGGTAATTAATTTGAGGAAAGTTATTGACGGACCATACGTCAGATTTCTTCCCGTGCCTTATTGGGGTAAGGCAGGGGGAAAATCTTTCACCGTTCCTTTTCTCTTTGTTCCTAAACGATTTAGAAACGTTTTTTAAATCCCTTGAATGTATTCCGCTAGAAATGATACACTTCTTTTTTCGGAAACTCCAGAAGGATTACAAAATGCATTGCATATTTTTCAAGAATATTGTGATATATGGAAATTGAAAGTAAATACTGATAAAACTAAAATTATGATATTCTGCAAGCGGAAAAGTAACCAAAATCATGTCTTCTTTCTAGGAGACGTAATACTTGAGATTGTTGATTGTTTCACATACTTAGGTATTATATTTAACTATCATGGAAATTTCGCTAAAGCGCGAAAAAACCTGATTGATCAAGCTCAAAAATCATTATTTGCATTTTACACAAAAAATCGGAATCATGCGCTTCCGATGGACATACAAATTAAGCTTTTTGATTCTGTTGTAGAGCCAATATTACTATACGGCTCAGAAGTGTGGGGTTTTGAAAATTTGAAAACGCTAGAGCAGACGCAACTGAAATTCTGTAAGAGAATTTTAAAAATCAGATCTAGCACTCCTACTTCTATGGTATATGGAGAAATCGGTCGGTTCCCAATGGAAATAATTTTAAACTTAGAATGGCACGTTTCTGGAATAATTTAATCGATACACGTAATGAAAGTAAACTCAGCAGTATATTGTTGAGATTGGCACTTAATTTACACGACACTGAATCATATTCTTTTAAATGGGTTAGTAAAGTTAAAAGTATTTTTGATGAATCTGGTTTTTCATACATTTTTGAAAATAAGATATGCATGAATAATATGTTCTTTAAAAATCACCTTAAACAAAGACTTCGAGATCAATTTATACAAAGTTGGTTTTCCGAAGTTCATAATTCGTCGAGAGGAGAATTCTACTCAATTTTCAAGTGTGAATTAGGTTTTGAAAATTATTTGATAAAATTGTCAGAAAATAATAGATTACCCATTACCAAACTATGAACGTGTAATTTGAAATTTCCCATTGAAACTGGGAGGTGGCAGAATATTCCAAAAGTAGATAGGATATGTAACCTTTGCCTTGAAAATATTTGAAATGAATTTCATTATCTTTATATTTGTAGTAATGTGGAAGTGAAAAATTTACAAAGAAAATACGTTCCAAATTACTATCATACAAATCCAAATGAAAATAAAATGAAAGGTCTTTTTTGTCAATATGTCACGAACAAATTCTGAAAGGATTATCAATTTACCTAAAGAAATTGATCACTTTACTTTAAGCTAAAACATAAACATTATACATATACTATTACTTGTTGCTTCTATAGGTCCATACTATTGAAGCACATTATGGGTCTATATCACTGATATGTACAAATCAATATGTAAAGTAGGTGACTATGAGAGTATTTTGGATACGGAAATGTATGCATATGTGCGTGTGTTACAAAATAGTTCATTTGTACAACATGTTATCATGCATATATATATATATATATATATATATATCAGTATCTTCATATACATGCATGCACCTGTCTACCCTGTCATAATTTAAGATATGAATTCATGTACATGTACCTCATGTTACACATTTTCATGTGTCTGAGTGTTCGAAATAAAATCTGAAAATCTGAAACCATAAATGCCACACCATACACAAGCTCACAGACAATTTGTGCCAGGTGAGCTTATATCAAAGGATTTATTCCATGTCACAACTTCAGTATCCAGGTGTAATTTAAAAAAAAAAAACATCTTCGACCCCCACAAAATAATCATCCAACTGAGAAATTTATGCAAAACATAATCAACCAGATGGGTATTTTATAGGGATGAAAATTTTATAAGACACCAGTAAAATTTAAGAAATGTTTGTTGTAGTTTAACTTTTAACTTTTTGACCACCGTAATGATGGCAAATTTATCATGACAGCTAATATTAGTCCATATAGCACACCACACAGAGCAATAACATTTGAAGGGTGAAATTAACACAGGAAAACTATGTATTTTATCAGGAAAGGGTCAAAGTTAAGGCAAAATTTTGCAGGTATATGAACCTGATGATCAAAGTTAATCAAAATTTATCAAGAATTCCTGAAGAAAATGAAATCATATGTCCACAAATGGATAGATATCGGATTCCAATATACCTCCCCTTCATTATTTTGGTATAATGCCAATCTGACAGATCAACAATAGTAATTTTATAATATATTAATAATGGTATGGAAATATGATATAAAAACATTGCAACTATAAAGCAGTATATGTTCCATACCTCTGTATTCAAGAAGAGTTTTTTAACAGGTGGTGCCTCTGCCTGTAAAAAACAAAAAGGGATACATGTTGATTATTCAATCATTCCTTTTTTTTTTTTTTACCTTAGTCATCAATAACATCTCGTTTAAACAACTAAATTTAATCTTGGTCATCAGTGACATTTCTTATAAACAAATAAAGTAAATCTTGATCATCAATGATATTTCTTATAAACAACTAAAGTAAAGCTTGATCACCAATGACATCTCTTATAAACAACTAAAGTAAAGCTTGATCATCAATGACATCTCTTATAAACAACTAAAGTAAACCTTGATCACCAATGACATCTCTTATAAACAACTAAAGTAAATCTTGATCATCAATGACATCTCATATAAACAACTAAAGTAAAGCTTGATCACCAATGACATCTCTTATAAACAACTAAAGTAAAGCTTGATCATCAATGACATCTCTTATAAACAACTAAAGTAAAGCTTGATCATCAATGACGTTTCTTATAAACAACTAAACTAAATCTTTACCAATGTCATCTCTTATAAACCCCAAACTAAATCTTGATCACCGATAGCAACACTTAAACAACTTAACAAAATATCGGGTCATATTGATGTCATATATATTATATCGGTCATATTATATTTACCCTCATAAAGATTAACAACGAATAACTAAGATATAAGGGACATGTGGCATATTTCAGTATCTAGATATAATCATCTCAAAGTGAACAACTTCTTGTTTTGTTGTGTTTTAAACAAAATTTACTTCATCTTCTTTCTTATTTGTTGCACGTGTCCTTCGTGTTGCAGGAGCAGAATTGGGTTGCTGTAAAGTTGCAGTATTCTTAGGTGCCACAGGAGTCTGCAATGATATAATTGTAGGTCATATATTAAGTTATCAAGCTTACCGTTAATTTGCTTTAAAGACAGGGCCAACATTAAGGAAAATCTATATCACCACTTGTTTTGTATGTAGATACTTTATATATACGGTGTGTATTTATATATATTAGTAACGAGTGATGTTAACGGTATGTATACAAGTGTTGTCCTGTCTGGTTAACAGTGTACATGTATGTGACATCATCAGTTTGGAATGTATGTACCCGTGTTGCTATGTTCTTGTTCAACATTCTGATGGAGTTTTACTTACGACCTAGACCTTGCCCCTTGCATGAATAAAGCACCCTTTATTCCCGCCACTACATTCCGACTACTGGATAATTTCTTACAGCCCAGTGGTCATTCTTACAATCCGACTTGTGAGAGAAGGATCTGTGCTCTGTGGTAAATTCTATACACTTATATATTAATATGCTGCTTATAGTGACGTTACCACCAGCACGCACTCAAGGAGTGTTATACCTGGCAAGTCTGTATGATGTGTTATTTTATCAACTATAGCATAATCATGACATCTTATATATTGGAGTAATATATATGTAGCAGTCTATTATATATTCGGACGTCTGATACCTCGGTTGGCATGGAAGTTCTCTTAGTATTTATATTTATTGTATGTATATGTGAAGGTTAAAGTATCTATTGTATTTTCCGGATCCTGTATTGTAGGTTTTTGCAAAGTAAAGAGAAATGGAAAACAGTTTCCAAAACACTTAACTTGTCCGTATGTTTGATAAATTGAGCAACCAGTGACATATCCATAAGGATAAAAACTCTTGCTATATTACAATTTAGTCACTCCCTCTTAGGTAAAAGAATTAAGCAGTTCCTTTAAAATACATTAAAACACTGTATCAGACAAATGCTCATCGCTGCATGAAAAAGATAACTAGTTTTCCAGTTTTATACACATGTACATTAAGGATTCCTAATTCATTCACATGGAGATATGTTCGTTTTAGCATCAGTTCATTATTCTGTATGATTTTGCCACATGTTTTCCCCCCTCCCACTTCATATGCAGATCCCCTGCCAATGATTTTCTGACGTTTTTTTTTATTCTAGTGCTTTTTGCCCTATAAAACTAAAAGAATCACCAAATTTTACCTGAAACAGGCGTCAAAAAGTTGTGGTTAATGTAATCAAATTTGTTTGCATCGAAGTGTTTCATTTATCAAGCCAAAATGACTGATGGATCAAACCACACTTTCAGTAGCTCATAAATTCACAAGCAGGTGATGGATGCATAATAATCATAATGGGCATTTAAAAATTCTGGGAAAAGCAACATTTGTAACGAGTAGTATTCAAAATATATTATAGTTTATTTTATTTTATATTTAATATCCAGTCCTAGAGCGGTGTCCTCTGCTGTATGTACAACACCAAACGCGATGGTATTCTGTTTGGACACGGAACACACTGACAGTGGCTGCTGATCATGAACAGATGAAGTGTTGATCATGCGTTAGGCACTGCGACACACTTCTTCCTTCTTCACATGCGCGATTGATATGACATCAGCATCGTTGGTGTCATTTGACGACATAATAAAACATAATAATATACACAAAAAAAGTAAATTAAACGCAAATTACCCTGGCTCTATTACTTCTTTTGGGTGGCATTTTGCTCCACGTGTTGGTGTATATCGAAGAAAAATACACGTGGTTTGGTGTAAAGCTAGAACAACTGTTTCGAATAACAAAAATGAAACAAGTACGGGTTAGTTAAAACTAATCAACAAATTGACATACTTTTCATGCGTAATTTTTAGCAACAAAATGTCTATTTTGAAAGGATGGAATCTATTAATACTCAACAAAAATTACATTAAAAATGAAATAGCAACCCTATTACGAAAATAACAGTCAGAAAATAAATGATGGGGACATACTAGAGTCCGGAATAAGAAACGCATATCCTACCTGGCGGAATATCGTATACAAAAGTCGGTATACAAAATGTAAATGCTATAGCTCATACTAGTAAATATGATTGGGGTGTCAGGTCGTTTTGGTAACAAGTTTAATAAGTAGACATCATTATTTAATTATATGTAAAATTTCAAGTTTATTTTATAAATGCAAAGTTTTGGGAAGGGGGAAGTAACTCGTATAACCGAGAGGTAAAAACATTGAAAAAAGGCATTATGATAACTTTATAACTGATATGATATAAACAAATAAAAGGTCATTTACAATTTTGTCTATCATTTATTTTCTTTATTATGAATAGAACTTCTAATAAATAATCTAAATATATTTGAATAAATTAATTGATGTTAATGTGTTGATAACATTCGCATCACGGCCAGTACTGATGTAATTATTATCAATACAAACTAAATGTTTCTAGGGTTAAATTTATCCATTATTCTCACTAACTGCTTTTATAGCATCAGATGTTGCATTACCAGGAATCACAAAGGAATTATCGACACCAGTGATTTCCGCTAGGTGCAGATGTGAACGCTTAACAGTTCAATTAAAGGAAACTTCCAGGCATCTACCGCAAAAAAAGTGATAATAATAAGAAAAATCAGCAAATATATATTCAAGAATATTATATGTTCAGTCTATATGTACATTAATTTGATATATGTAATGTGTCTGTTACGTTTATAAATAAGATATACGTTTGTCACATTTGTAATCTACAATGTTTGGCCTTCTTGTTGGTATATATACATGTATATGGTTGGCAAAAAGTGAATAAAACCATAACTGTCTGCATATGGGAGGCTTATGATTGGTAGAGTATACACTATATATATTGTATATAATAGTAAACTCTTGTTATTATGTTATTATTATTAACTGTAAGATTTCAGGATTTTAAACCCTCTATATCAATACGCACCGGAAGTCGAGTATTAGTATAGGAACATTAAAATGCGCCGCAAGAGGCTAACTGAAGCTTTCCATTGGTGTCGACAACTATATCAACTATATAGTAGGATGAGGAAAGCGATAAAGAACGTGCCGTCGCCCGAACCCGCGACCATTGGCTCTCCAGCCCGGTGACTCGGTAACCCTTTGAGGGATCATGTGTGTCCATGGGGTGGATGGTTTTGGGGTGGTCCACGTTAAAAATCATTAAAACCCTGCTCTTCCCCATACGAAAATCCTGCATCCGACCCTGAAAATGATGTGTAACGAAGTGGAAAATTAGTCGATATCATTATCATATTAAGTCGAAACAAACTCCAACGAGCTTTCCAATGATGGATAACACTGTGTTTGTGTGTGTGTGTGTGTGTGTGTGTGTGTGGGAACATGACTCATTTATATCAGCTGAAGCCCACTTGTTTTATGATTCCACAATTGGTAAAAAAAAAGCACAGTGACCCCATGTCAAATTTTGCCGACATTTTAAAGGTTAATCGTCATTTAAATAATAAAATCAGCAAAAACCAGTGAAAAAATGAGGATTTTTAAATTCAAAATAAGGGGGAAACGAGTCCAATCGTTCCATAATAACGGTGGGGCAATCCGTACCAAGATTAGGTTTATTCGTTCAAAGAATCTTCGGTTATTTGTTCAGTACCGCGAATAAAGCAAAAAGAAGAGGCATCACAACAATCTCTATCGAGGTTTCCAATGAGATGGAAGAATACCGTGACTATGAATTCTATAAATGCTGTATATTATTATTATGAAAAGGATTATATACCAGCCATTCTGTCTACGAGTTACCTCCCCTTAACCGCCCATAGATATGTTACCGATAATTTTTCCGAGAACCAAAAAAAAACTGCGCATATTAACAGACTATGGGAAAAAACTAAAATCTTTGGAACAGAACAACTGATATCCTTTACTGATACGGATTGTCGATGGTACGGAACGACATTATAATTCACTATTTTTCGCCCAGAGATCCTTGCACCTATATGTAACTTTAGTAGACTCTTATCATGCATTGATCTGGAGGAGTCCATCATGGTCAACAGTGTTGAAAGGGTTAATGAAAACGTATCAGCCGTGTTTTCGTACTTTTTAATTATTGCATCTTAAAGCGACCAAGAAATTTGTAACTGTGATTTGAATATTTTTAAAATGGCAATCCGAATTTACGATAAGAATAATTTATATCATATCTCCAACATATGAAATCATTAGCATTATTAAATACGAAAACAGATATGCTAGCTCTCTCTTACAACACATGGTCGAATCTGCAGCCACACTAGAAACTCGTGGTCCCTACTATTTTGCAGTTCATAACAGTTTTACACCATAATGGCACCAAAAAATGTCAAAGGCAAAAAGGTAAGTTGACCTATTATACTATTAAGCATATGGCATTGTGTCAGTAATAATTCAATGATGTAAAAAACGAGCGAAGAAATCGTTGAGAAATTGACGCTTTCTCCACGTGCCTCCGTGTTGTCTACAGTACTGTCTGACCACGTGGTCGTAGAAATTATACAGAGATTTAGAAAACGGTTTAAATAATTTAATTATAACCCTAGTTCGCCTAATATTACTTACATATATACTAATGACTTATATTTTCAAGATCATTGAACAAAATTATGCTTTATTACTCTGTCTTCACAGTCTTGGAACATAGCACATCCACATGTGAATAGAACACCACGTGTGTACTAAATTTACAACGCGTTATTAATAATCGCATAATACAGCTACTATAACTAAAACAAAATCTTTTTAGAAGACGTATAGTCAATATGCATGGGAAAGTGTTTTATGGTTATAATAGGAATAATGACTGTTTAGAAACACGTGGTATCGGGCATTTTAAACTGTTAATCTGTTTCATTGAGATTTAACTTTTGTCATTGAGGGTATTTGAGATAGGTTTATTGGATTGTAAAAAAAGTAAATTGTTCAACATGTGTACACTTTAAACCCTTGTTTTGTATCTAAAGGGAGCAGTCACTCCAAACAACAAAGGAAAGAAAGCAAAGGCTCCCCCTCCTCCCCCAGTAGAATCTGAAAGTGAAGAAGATGATTCCGAGGAAGATGATTCTGAAGAGGAGGTAAAACTTGCAACTCTTGAGAAAAAATACTTTTGGATCGTTTCAGAGTTTCCTTCATTTGTACAACTTCTAAAATGAGAATCTTTAATATAACCCCATGTTATTTCCCAGTGTAAAAAGAGTAAGACATTATTTAAAAAAAACAATTGATTGCCATCCGTAAATCAGGGGAAATCCTGGAATTTGAAAGCAGTGGGCCTTTTCAGCAATTTTAGTCAATATCAAAATGAAGAGGGGCCATTCTATGTAAAATTAAGGTGAAATTTGAACATTGAGGCCTTTTGAGGGGTCAATTTCAGATTTAGGATCATCCCTGTAAATGTTAAATTGTACGAGATATATCCGTGCATCATAGGGTCTTCAGTGGCTTTATTTATTATGAGATCACTTCAACATTAACATGTCCACGACTTTTGATTGCTGAAAAAAAACAATGTTAAGATACACTAGTATCAAATATCTGGATTCAAGAAAAAAATAATACCCAGTCTATGCACACCTGGATGCTTTCATAAAAAAGACATTAATGCAAGTCCTTGAATACAAAATAATCAGGGCCTTTACATGGCATGATATACCAATCTGCAACCTTATTATGTAGTTTATGACTAAACATTCTGAAGTGCAAACATCCTTCCGTCTATATTTTCAATTTGTTTTCTTTGGGAGATCCCCTAAACCCATTAAACCCTACCAGGGGTAGTGGGTGGCTTTGCCACCCCTCTACTCGAGATCTAGTACTCTTCTAACAGATGGCCTTTAGAGAGTGGGCATCTCGTTGCACTCGTATATCATGCTCGCCAATGCCTTACTATTTTTGATTTCTGAAAGATGTCTTGTCTGAAGTTAGTCTAGAGATAATTAATATGACAAACTAAAAACATTCTTGAGTTATGTTTGACCTACCAACCATTTATATGAAGAAATTTATAACATTTTCCCCCCTAGGTACCTGTCCCTGTAGCAACAAAATTAAACAAAAATGCACCAAAAAGAAAAGCTGACAGTGATGATGATGACGATTCTGAAGAGGACGACGATTCTGATGATGATGGTATATATTTTTTTTCAATGTTTCATTTTAAAATATATTGTCCCTTGTTCTCTTTTAGCAGGAATGATTGATAAGCCGGCATACATCTTTTTTGTGATAGAAATTAATGCTTTCAGCGTAGAAATGATTCCAATTAAAGTTTCATGTGACTGTATCTGTATAGCAACATGTGGTATTATTTTGTTTTATATCGGCTTTTAGAGTGTACAAAATTGCAAAATTCTTAGAGAATCCGAGACAAACTGCTGTTTCACCATTTTTAATGTCTTAATTGTTCATTATAAAATATCAATGTAATCTTTATTGAAGTTGCTATGCCAGCAGTGAAAAGTCCACCTAAAAAACTTTTGAAGAAAGCAGAGGAAAGTGATGACGAGGATGATGATGACGAAGACGATGACGATGAAGGTAAATTATAGAAAATTATTTTTAAATATGTTTATTAATCAAACAGAATTCGTTAGTCGTTTATAAGAATTTAGTTCGATTACACAATAACATTCTTAAATTCTATGTATCTAACTATATTAAAGTAGCAGAATTGAATCTTGTCAATCAGATAATGTAATTTGACTAATTTTATTTTGCTGAATTCTTGGAGAAGTAAACATATGACATGTAATGATTAAAAAGATGATTTGAAATATTTTGGCTATTGCTACTAATGATTTTTTCTTGTGTAAAACAATTATTTTCTACTCGATTTCAGATGATGATGATGAATCTGATGAAGGTATGTTAAGCAGTTCCAGTATGATCGATCATCTAAACTAAATTGATTAGCCTTATTTACAGTGTTCTTAACACAAGTTACTAGTCTCCTATTTATAACGGGTTGTCTTCCATCAAGTTGATGACTCAGTAGTTGCAGCTGGCAAAACAATGTTTTCCATTATAATCCATATCTACCAGTGCTGATTTTCAAATGCTTCCTAATCTCTGTAGACCTCTAAACCAAATGGTGGCACTGACCTGTTATTGTAAAATTCAGTGTTTTTGCTACCTAAATATTACAACAGCCTATTCTTTTATGAATTCGGAAAATATAGCATTATTTGTATTGAAATCATATTCCTCAGTTTTTGGTCATTTTGGGAAATAAGACACCTTTTAGCTAGGGGAAACAGCATTGTATTTGGCAGCAAAACTGATTAAAATAATCACTGAAATTGATATTGAAGTTTAAAATAATCACTGAAATTGATATTGAAGTGTGTATATTTAAATTACAAGTGTTCCTTTATTGCAGAAGAAGCTGTTGTTAAGACCAATGGAACAGCTAAGGCTGTAGCTCAAGCTGGTATGTCCACTTTAGACACCTTTTTAAGTAATACAACTCTAATTTATGGAGTTGTGACCCTTTGTTAGGGTTGACTAATTGTTTATCCATGGACAAAAGGGGTCAATTCCATTTTGTTCAAATGTTTTCTCCTTTCACCTCATCCCAGAAATAATTTAACTTGTCTGAATAATATGGTAAAAATGTAGTTGTGTCTTGTTACATTTTTATATACTTGAATACAAGTATGCATCTGAAAATTGTTTTAAGTATATATTATATATAGGATCTTAAATGAGTATCATTTCATATGAGCTAAAATTAAAAAAAATGTGACTAGTTTAAGATCCTTTTTACCACGTAATCAAGATTTGTGGCATTTATTCGTGTAAAACGACCATTTTCATACAACCTTTAAATGTAAAAAGACGCAATTTTGACTCCAGTGCGCAAGTCTGACGTCATGTACTTGTCCTATTACATGGGTTAATACGCAAAAAATACTCTTGTTTAGCTTAGGAAAACCCAAGTATCAGCCCCAGATATTTTTTTATGCTTTTGCTAGATGATGACAGTGAAGAGGATGATGAAGATGATGACGACGATGATGAAGAGGACAGTGATGAAGCAGACAGTGATGAGGAGGAGGAAGAAGATACAAAAAAGAGGAAAAAGACTCAAAATAATAAGCCTGCAAAGAAAGCCAAAACTGATGATGCTGAAAAAAGTAAGTCTTTTTCTGTGTATTTGTGCTAAGCTCGCCATGTGCTTTTCTGGCGATGACATACTTCTTGTACTTAACAATCATGTTGTTTAGTGATACATTGGAGATATAGATTGCCTATAGTGTCGGTCCATACTTTTTGTTTCTAGAGATTATCTTGGAATCAAAAGATTGTCTTTTGGAAATTTGACATAGTGATCAATACACTGATATATAGAGGATTAAAATCTTCTTGGGGAAAGGTAGCAGATAGTGGGACCATTGATGACGTGTCAGTGTTCTAGTAGAGGCTATCATATATACTAGATATCGGGGATGGGGAAATTTTGAGGGGTGTAGATTTTTTAGATAACACACAAGTTAACCAAAAAGCATATTTGGAAAGAGCAGGAAAAAGTAAACTCTGAAATTAAAGTGGCTTGCAAAAACGTTGCAGCAAGTTTGTTCGGAAAAAATATTTGATAGTTGTTCCTGTTTGGCAATATCAAATGCCTTTTGTGATTAGGTGGTAGAAACATTCTTCCACAGTACCAGAATGTCATGTTATGAAATCATGTATAACATTGAAATGGTGCCACATTTCTAAAGTGTGAGAAAGGAAGAGTATCATGATGTAGGTATATTGGATATGGAAGTTCAACTCTTTGGGTGTAGAAGAAGGGGTCAGAAATTCAGCAAAGCCTTGGTTCTTCTTTCCGTCATTGGTTTGTGCGAGAAAATTACGTCGTTTTCTCAAAAATTGATGACGTTACTCTCACGAACAAGTGACATAACAATCAATACCTGCTCCGAAATACGCAATACGCAAAGACGGAATACCCAGATCATACATATGTGGGTAAAATATCCATTTCCCACATCTTGCATTTATATGGTATACTCCACCAATTGTGCCGTATGTTGATATATGCAACAATGGTTTCATTTCCTTTCTCAATGATTGCATATATGTGAGGTATTTTGGCAAGTAATGGGTTGGTGCAGGTGTTGGTGTGAGAAATGAACAATTTCTGTTTACTTGCATAGTAGTTTTTAAAATCATTTAAATTGAACTTATGTAGCTCTACTAGTGGCTAGTGCAAGAATTAGATGTATGAATGAATTGTTGTGTAAAATGTTGAACATGTATATATCATAACCTGTTTATCAATTTGTTTTACAGCAACCCTCCATGTTAATAATGTAGCAGATGTAGCCGATGAGAAGGTGAAAAAAATATTTGAAAAGAAAGGAATATCTGTCGCAGAAATTCGACGTCCAAGACCAGGTGGACGGTAAGCAGATTTGCAGGCTTTGATATGGGGATGGTTGCTATTCAAACCACAAGTACTAGTCTACTATTTGTAAACTGGGACAGATTGTGTTAAATAGTGTGAAAATATAACTGGAAGAGATATTGTACAAATTTATGAACCATGTGATTAAGAATCGAGTATGGTCATTATTCATCATTGATATATATATGCGAGACATTAATAGTGGGCTATGGATACATATCAATTCAGAACGGTTGTAAAAGGGAAATTGTCAGTCTAGTGACCAAAGTATGATAATCCGGTTCTGTATTTTAAAGTATGAAATCAGAAGCCAGTACTGCTGTAAAAGTATAAGCTACTGTGTTAAAAGTATAATAATCTATCGCTGTAAAGTTGAATTATAATATTGCAACACTGTAGTAGAATGAAATAAGCTAGTACTGTTGTAAAATACGAACTTCCTGTAATAAAGCAAGACAGTATGTGGGACAATTTCTTGTCCTGAAACTCCTAGCAGACTTAATTTCTATACTCATTTATTTCTGCACAGGTTTGTATATGTTGATTTGGCCGATCCGTCACAACTTGATAAGGCTTTGCAGTTGGATGGTGTAAAAGACATGAAAGTGGCATTGGCGAGATCAGGTGGCGATGTGAACAAACAACAAAAAGATGCCAAATCATTTGGTAAGAATTTATTTCTTTTGAACATGTAATAACTTTGCACTTATCTTGTAGATAATTATATTTCATGTTGTCATTTTTATACCATTTGATCCTGATGAAATTAACAAATTTCTCAAATATCTGAAGTATTTATAATTATAATGTCAAATAAACATGAACTGTAACCATTGAAAGTACTGGTCACTTCACTGACATCTGATCAAGACTCGGTTATAAATATTTATTGGACCTAATGATCAGCATTTCAGGGATTATCTGCACCTTGCAGAGGAATTTGTAGCTTTTATTCCTATGTTGTGCAGCAATTAAATCATCAATTTGAGTTCTTTGTGCAGTTAAATGTTTTCAGAATTCGGAAGTGGATTTGGAATGAATGGCAAATCATGAGAGTGAAAACAGAAAAAAAAAAATGCATTTTGAACTATTGGCAATTCCTAACTAATAAATATTGCATACCATTAGCTTAAGTGATAATGTTTGTCAGCTGTATGATGTGCATGCATTTAATGCTTTCTGATATTATGTATCGATATGATATTTAACCATTAATGCAAGTCAATGTTATTTACAGATGACAAAAACGATTCAACATTATTTGTGAAGAACTTGGCAGAAACCGTTACAGAAGACATGGTGCAGGAATTCTTCACAGGTTCCACATCTGTTCGTATGCCTAAAAGATTTGATGGCAATCCTAAGGGGTAAGGACTTGTTAGCTTGCATATCCAAAGAAAATTGAGCTAATGTATTCCCCCTGTTTGTATCCTAGTTTAGAATTGGGAAATATGATTTCAATGCTCCCCGATTGGATGTAGTTGTTTCTTTGTCTGTGCCCACCACCTCCTTGCGTGCTAAGCAAATGGTTTCTGGATAACTTTAAAACAGAAAATCCTTTTTAAACCAATATTAAGTTTTATAATGTCCTGAAGGGAAAGGAAAAGGCCTAACAATTTGTGGGCACGAAATCAAAGGTCAAGGTCACTTTGGCTATAAATAGACTGATATTTTGGAAAAATATTGGTTTCAAGATGCCATCTCTCAAATGATAAATAAGATAGAAACTGTACTTGGATGAATGGTGCTCCTTAGGAAGAGGAAGGTCTCAATAGAGGTTGGGGAATACTAGTTCAAGGTTACAGTAGCCATATATATATATTAAGATTTTGTAAAAATGTCTTATTTCTAATGCATCAAACATCATGATTTTGGGAACTTCTAGACGAGGCACATTTAAGTAGGGTATTTCCTGTTTTTATTTTTTCTCTGGCATCTGAACAAATTGTTACTTTCCCGCACAATGATAAGTCATATGCTCTGACCCAGGATTTTATTCATTGAGCATATGACCGTTATGGCGACAGTTTTTCATATCTAAGTATTCGTACGAGTATGTGGATATTTGGTTTTGGGTGTTAGTGCCATCAAAATAATAGTTTTATCAAATTCCTTGCACGGTTCCCAGGGTAAGACGTCGTCGTTACTATTTCTTAAAAATGGTCTAAATGTTTAGTAGTTATTCCAACAACTTTAATTACTTCATAGCAGATTTTAATCAAACATTATCCAAAGATGTAATATGAGAATGCATAGGTTAAATTCATATTTGAGGGTGCTAAGGTCAAGGTCAATTTATACTACAGACAGAAAATGTTCAAACAATGAAACTCGTTTGCTTGGGTGCAGGGGCATTAAGAAAGGGGTCTAACAACCTTTTTCTAGTTTTTGAAAAATCTTTACTTTTTTTGGACATAAAAGTTTGCTCATCTTGACATTTTGAAGATGATAAATTTGGAATTTTCACAATCATCAATGCATATCTTCATTGTAATCGGATTGATTATTGTAAATATACTCCAATTTGTTAATACCATCCTTTCAGGCTCCACAACATGTGATTAAATATATTTGAATTTTTCAGCTTCGCATATGTGGTCTTTTCGAGTGCTGATGAAGTAGCCACAGCGCTTTCTGAAAAACAAGGAGCCGAGTTGGAAGGAAATGCTTTGTTTTTGGACAAGGCTGGTAGCAAACCAAAACCTACATTTGGGTCCCCAGGAGGAACAGAAGGCAAGTATAATGACCTATTAGTATCGGTGGTGGACAGAAAAGAAAGAGATCTGATCTGAAAAATATCACTTAAAAAGCATTATAAGAGCCCCACATTCAGAAAATGCAGGATAATCTCGGAAATTGTAATTTTGGAGGAGAAAAAAAGAATATAATTAGAGCAATGGCCATCATGTGATATTTTTACCAAGATTAAATAAGGTAGCTCTTGTTTAGCGACGTCCATTGAATAGGAAATTTGGTGAAGGTATTTATTTGTTATCGGTGTGACTAAAATATGAATTTCAAGCACCATTTTGAATGGCATGCCCACCTATATATAAAGTTATGGCCCATTATTCATTTTTACTGATTGTTCATAATACTTTTTGTGCATTACAGATGGAGAAAAGTCAAAAGTATTATTTGTGAAAAATCTTTCATATACATGTACGGATGACATATTGAAAGAGGCATTTGAAGGATGTACAGCAGCAAGAATTGCGAAATTCCCAGACACTGACAAGTCCAGAGGGTATGTTAAAAGTAGTTAAAAGTAACATTTGTTGAAGTTGTAAAGAATAATGTTTTCTGTTTGGGATTGTTCATTTTTTCTTAAAGATAAATATGATGATGATGGAGTCAAATTTTATGACATTTTTGAAAAAGTTAAAATGGCCTATGTCGATCTCCTTTCAATTCTTGGTATTTCTGTGCTAAATATTAAAACAGATTTATCCAATGTTTTACACAATTGACATTTTAAGCTATTAAAATTTAAAAACAGCATTTAGTATGTGAAACATGAAATATTTGTCAAATATCAATTATATAACTGCATTTGAGATGAGAGGAATAGAGAAAAATCAACATGTTTGTTACCTCAACAGGGTTCTCCCCAGGCCATTTAGCTGATACGGCTCCGTATCAGCTTCAGTTTGAAATCCTACCTGCCGTATCAGCTTAATTGACCCGTATCACCTTAAACTGTGAACCGTATCACCTTGTTATTTGTACTGAACAGAAGGTGGTCTTTTTACACAAGAAATTGACACTGATTAAATCACACGGCTGACCCAAGTCCATCAATGACCCCACTGGTCAGTTGCACGATAAGCGTATTGCCACAGGGGGCCTGTAATTAGTGGGGAGGGGGACCGGACGACAAGCCCACAGGGCACAGGTGTCCGGCAAGCGTGCTCACTGGAGCCTAAAGCAATTACCACCGGATCCTTTTAGCATGGTCAATAGGTGATTAATTGAGGTACCTACTGTTGGATTAACAAAACAAACACTTATTACATCTATTATAAATTAATTTACTCACATATGATTGCATTTGACAACGCTGAAATAGCGTGTGTATTCAGTTAGTGATGGTCGCCATCTTGGATTGTGTAAAGTACAAACCGGAAAGGGGAATGAAATTCCGGATTTGTCGTTTTTAATGAAGAAGAGCTCAAATAAAAATGCTGTTTTAATCTTTGATCACATTTACTGACAGCAGTATTTAATATAGTTTTAGAGGAAATAAAAACACTGTACATTTTATTAAAACATTTTCTCTTACAACAATAAGAACTTTGATATAAACTTGTTCATGTAAGTGTTTCCCCCTATAGCTTTTAAATATTTCTTCTTTAAATTATTTTTAATGGGGATTAAGTAAGGGATACAAATGTAAAGATAAGAGACAAATGTCACAAATGTCATATCTATTATTCAATGTACAAAACTCATCCACCTTTCTATAAATTGTATTTTTTTTCAGAATATATTGCTGAAAATTCAGACATAAGAAACACTTATTTATTTCCTTGGTTTTAATGTTCACCAAAAGAAGTTTGGTAAATAAAAGTAACTTTTTAAACATTATATTACACCCCCCACCCCCCTTAGGTTTGATAAGGTATTATAAGGTATTATATTAGCGTGTCCGTCTTGAATGTTCGTTGCAAATGAAACATATCGGCTTAAAAAAATTCTGGGGAGAACCCTGCTCAATATGAATCTGGGTTTTGAATTTCAGGTTTGGATTTGTGGATTTCGATACAGCAGATGAGGCTGCAGCAGCGTATAAATCAATGGCAGGTCAGGAGATTGACGGAAGACAAATATATTTGAACTTTGCTGGTGAGTTTTGCTTACTGAACCATCGTGTCAAAATGCCTGAAAATAGTATGCAGCTAAATGTAATAATGACTAGAGGTGTTTATTATAAAGGCTAGTGAATCTGTAACAATATGCAGAGTCATTTTCACCAGTACATTTCAAAACCCCCCAAAACAAAGTTAAAGGGCATACTTGAATTAACCTGCATTTACATATATCGCTCATTGCAGCACATGTCATGCTTTGTTTACACTGGTGCTATCATTGTAGAGAAAGGTGGTGGGCGAGGAGGTGGCCGTGGGCGTGGTGGCCGTGGAGGATTCAGGGGTAGAGGCAGAGGAGGAGACCGAGGAGGATTCAGAGGTAGAGGAAGAGGAGGAGGAGACCGAGGAGGATTCAGGGGTAGAGGTCGTGGAGGTGGTGGTGGACGAGGAAAGAGTCCATGTAAGTTTTAACAGATCAGGTTGACCTAGAAAACTAGTATTTTTTTTTACTGAAAAAGGTGAACTGGATAGCCTATATCATAGATTAGAACTATGTTTAAAGATTGAAATGCATTGTTTTCACATTTATGATGTTGAGAGAATGTTCCATTGAAACATGTTCCATTAAGTAAAGTCATTGAGTAGATTATTGAGAGAATGGAATTAAAAGGAATGTCAATATTTTTCTGGGTACTTTTAATTGATCTTTTCAGCTGCAAAAGAAAGTTTTTCTGATTACTTTTAATTTATCTTTTCAGCTGCAAAAGGAAGTATACAGAGTTTTGAAGGAAAAAAAAAAGTATTCAGTGACTAAGATGCATCTCATGTAGTGAGACTTAGAACAATATATAAGGAAATGCATAAACTGCAATTGTTGGCAGGTAACACAACACATTTTATCATTGTGCATTTCAGATTGAATTGACGACCATACTTTTAGTGTGAACGTCTTTTTAATTCATCCAGAAATCTTGAATGACAATTGTTTGAAGGGAGGACCAGATGACTTGACCCTGACATCAGATTTCATGAAGATTTTAAAATGCTTGGAATAGCTATACGTCAGTGATCATGTTGTGTCGTGCATTTCTCATCTGATCTGTGGATATTAAGCTGAAAGATGCAGCAAATGTTTGTGACTTGTAGACTCCTTTTTTACTTCATTGTTGTCCATACTTTTAAGCATTTAATAAAATGTATAGCTGATCATGATTTAACACATGTTGTTTAGGATTACCCCGCATCACAGGCACAGCATCCCACTAGTGCCATCAGGGAAATCGGTATAATTTTTGGAGGACAGTTTTTGTTCTTAGATCTATTATATTTTACAATGTTCATGTGTGTAATACTGTATGAGGAAGAGTGACATTATTATCTTTACTGGTCGAATGAACATTTTAAAAAAGATTTTAAGGTGTTTTAGATAGACTTTTCAAATATATGAAAGTGGTTTCTTAAAGATTTTACCAAGTCTGCATAGCCAGATTATGACAATTTTGCATATCTTGTTCAAATTACAAGGGAGATAACTCTACCTTCCATAAAAGGTAGAAGCAACTGTTTCTAATGGTACTTCTATGTACCCAGCTGTTATTAAGTGATTGTGTTCACATTTATTGTTTTGTTTTCCTTTGTATTTTTTTTTCTGTTGACAAATATGCCTAGTATTAAGTTGATTTTTTTAACATTAATCGTTGTTGGACTGGAAAAAAAATAATACCAGGCTACTGTCGGCTAAAACATATTTGATAATGATTAATAAAGGTTGAATAATGCAGCATCCTATTTGATAGATCGTTTGTGTATATAAAAATGGAATCTGTGAAGAAATTATTATTCATTTTAATCATTTGTATATAGAAACATGGAATCTGTGAAATTTTGGTCATAAACTTCATTAAATCTATCCAAATTTTGTTGTTTGTTTTGTTGTTATATGCTGTCTCAGTCTCTTATAAATCCAGAAGTAGCAATTTAACATTGGAAATGCTTAATACTATGAAAGACAAATTGGTCTTTAAATGGAGCTACATACATCTATATGTGTCGCAGAACAAGTTCTGATGGAACGATCAGAGAGCATTGGAAAATTATCATACATTCCTAGATCTTTAAGATTACTTTTCAAATTAAGGGATGCTGTTTGGGTAATTTCTTGTGATAATAACATTTTGTTCTTCCCAATCACTTGAACATCTTTATTATGTCTCCCCATCAAATGAAGGAAGATGTTGTATAAGCACAGATTCTTCTAATATGATTTGTCCGAACTGTAACTGTCAAACCGTTTGGAATTTTCTTCAAGCTTTTAAGTAAATCTGCATAATCCAGAGATGTGCAGTTCACTGTTATTGGGTAACTGACTTTAATGTTCATGGAATATTAAATAAGTGCAAAAATTTTCAGTAAACCCACTTGTGTTGATAAAAAATCATAACTTGAGATTTTTTTTTATTCAAGATTTTTTTGCAATGTATGGGATAATTACAATCAAACATTTCATATGTATTCATACCTCGCACGACTCGTATATACTCTTACTTTCATCAGTTGATATACTTGACGCCAGTACATGTAATGGTACACATATATTGCCTTTATGAGAACAGAGATGGAGAGAGAAAAAATATATATAATGAAATCGCAAAGAAAAAGGAAGGAGAATCTGGTTTTTGCACTGCAGCTCAAGAATAAACAACTTTGTGTTTAGGATAAGATTATAAGACAATCTTTTGGCTTTAAACTGCAAGTAAATACAGCCATATAAATTTACCCTTTGGTTAATTATACTAACTTTCCTAAAAAAAAAAGTGTCCGAGAAATGAGGGTTATACTCGGGACAAAATATAAATTATATCATAATAGAGATAAATTGTAACTTCAACTGAAATTCCCAAAAAAGGACAAAAATGTTGGGAGTTCAGGCAAGATTCAATACAGGTTTGGTGAAAGGGGCATAACTGCCAAAAAAGCATGCAGAACAAGAGAAAAAGACCCTGTGAAAACTTAGTTTGTGCTGGCTACATGTACATGTATGTACATCAGTGTATTTTCAAAATATGAAATATAAATATCTTGATATAACTTTATAATATAACTTTTCACACCAAAGCAATTTAATGCGAGTAGGACAAAATCTGTCCTTTATCATACTAGTTCCCTTGCAGAACAGGTTACCCATATTATAACTAATTGTTAAAAGCACTTTAATGTAATAGATGGATCATAACAAAATAAAGTGTAAATAATAACTATTAATAGTGAGTGAAATAATGAGCATTTTAAGGTCGCCTGAGCTTTGCGAATTGAATTTTTTCAAACTTGGTCATAATCATCCTTGGTAGATGAGGCTACAAAATTGTAAAATTGGAATTCCTACCCCGACCCCAGGGGCCAGGGTGGGGCCCAAAGGGGTTCCAAAGGGAAAATAAAACCAATATTTCAAAAATCTTCTTCTCCAGACTCCAAGGTAATCCGTCATTTTTTCTGCATGGATGGAAAGATCATCAGTGGCTTTATTTAAATTGTAAATTTCAGGACCCCCGAGCTAACTGTTCTCCCTTGCGGAGGGAGTAAAGTTTACTATTGTTTATGTAGGGAAACAACACTTTTGGGTATATTTTGGCAATTTTCTGTAGGAATTTATTCTTCCTTTGTGAGAATTATCCTTGGAGGAAGATGGGTTTAAATTGAAAAATTGGGATTCCTACCCCAACCCTAGGGGCCAGGGCGGGGCCGCCTCCAAAGGGGAAATTAACCAATATTTCAAAAATCTTCTCTCCCAGACTCTGAGGTACTACAGTCAAAGATCATCAAGAGCTTCATTTAAATTGTAGATTTCAGGACCCCGGGCCATCCCTCCTACCTGTGGGAGGGGGTAAAGTTTACTATAGTTTATATAGGGAAATAACACTTTTGTGTATATATTCGTACTTGGTGAGTATTATCCTTGGAGGGGCCCCAAAGGGAAAATTTACCAATATGTCAAAAAAATGTTCTTCAGACTTTTAGGTATATTTTATCCATTTTCAGCAGAAAAATATTCCTGCACCATTCCCAGGGGCTAGGGCGAACCCCAAAGGGAAAATTTACCAATATTTCAAAAAAATGTTCTCCAGACTTTTGGGTATTATTCCTGCCCTATCCCCAGGGTCTAGGACGGGGCCCCAAAGGGAACGTTTACCAATATTTTAAAATGCTTATCCTTTGATGACATGACAAGTACATTATTTAAATTGTAATTTTCAGGACCCCCGAGCTATCCGTTCTCCCTTTGGGAGGGGGTAAAGTTTACTAAAGTTTATATAGGGAAACAACACTTTTGGGTATATTTTGACAATTTTCTGTTGGAAATTATTTTTACTTGGTCAGAACATAGACCTAAATTAGCTTTAGGTCTGGTCAGAATCATCTTTGGTGGATGACAGTATCACAGTGCAGGGGTTAGAGCGGGGCCCCAAAGGAACATTTACAAATATTTTAAAATTCTTATCCTTTGATGACATGACAAGTATTGTATTTCACTTAGTTTACATGCTGATTTCCACATCACATCTAAGCAATAAAATAAAGCTACCAGTACCTATGATATAACTCAGGTGACCACAAAGGCCCTTGGGCCACTTGTATTGATAGTGAATAAAAAAATAAAATAAGAAAGGGAATGAAGAATTTATACAGAGACAATCCATGCAAGAATAATACTCCATTGTCTTATTTTAGGGTGAGTCAAGAATGAAGGAAAAATTAATGTATTTTCATGTACAGTCAACTTACTGAAAAGAAAGAAATAACGGATCTTTATCTTAACTGGTGTACAAATGAGAAAACAAAACGTCGAGGAAAAACGGCATTCGTTTGCATTGTCCTCTCTATACAAATTATTCGATATACGATTCCAATACCTTCGTGGGATATGTAGAAGGAACCTTTTAAATTTTAAATGTGCAGTGTTGCTTAGAAAACGAAGATGTTGATTGCATTTTAACATTCTTAAGGGCTTACGGATTTCACAAAAGTCTATTGTGATTTAAAATGTAATTGGGGCTTGTCATTTTCTTGATAAATTGTTTTGGAACAATCTTCGCAATAACATTTTTGTGAAGATAATGGTAACATTGCCAGTTCGCTGATTTCCTTGTCTATATCTACCATTTCGTGAAACGGTAGTCCCCGTAAGAAGAAAACAGATTACGTCCCTTGGCAATCAAGGGACGTAACTAGTTATCGTAAAGAGCAATACCATCAAATGCTACATTGATACAGAGACCTAAAGTAAAGGGACCGCCAACTCCCAGTGGCGAGAAAATATGTTACCGATTTCGCAGTGCCCTCACCGGGTGTCATACAATATCAAGGCCGATAACTCGTACCGTCTATTCGCCATTGGTAAACACTCGAGTGCTGTCGATAGATATTTTGTTAAGCATCGATTTCATACAACATGAATTAAACGAACTGTTTGAGGTATGTGTGTTATTCTAATATTATATTCCCACACCTGAAATAGAAAAAAAGCAATACCTAAAGCATTTTTCGTGGTCAATAACATAATGTTCACGAAGCAGCCGAGTCGGATTTTTTCAGTTTTTAGTCTGTGGTTTCACTTTCACTTCACCGGTCAGGTGCCGTTCTGGTGATAACCTCTTGTGAGAACATTCGCCTATTTTGTATGCCAATACTTANGTGTGACGTCATGGAGTCGGCGGTCCCGTTAATTTAGGTCTATGATTGATATCAGTTTAATGATTAGGTGATATCACTCAAATGGAATACAAAGTGAAATGGCACACTTTAAGGATTGGCGTTTGTGCCAGTATATAAATATGTGCCGAGATCCACGTGCCATTTGGCCTTTTGTTATTGATGGTGTTGTTTTATTTCGTCCCAATAAAATATTTAACGACCTGGTTTAAGGGGAAAGACCTATTGACACACGATAAATATCGGGGAACCAAAGAATCGGGTTTCACAACAACAAGTACAATAAAAAATATAAATATCCTTTGTAATGTAATGGAGGTTTTTTTTTGGTAATTAGTTTCCCCTAATAAGGAATATGAATCCGAATCTTTGCTAGAGACTATTACACAATTTTGAGGTATGTTTGACAACTGTAGTACACAAAGTCCGACGGTCAAACTCTGACGCCCGACATACATCTCTCTAGTCACTCGGTTTGACTGCTAGTGTAAGGAATGTTGTCACCTGGACGAGACTACGAGATTTCTCAAATAAACACCCAGTCAATTACATAGCACACATGGTGATTAGTCCGAATTACTGCTAATCGCCTGACTAGTTCTGTACTTGACTGGAAACTCGGTATCGCTTGTGATTTTTAAGCCGATGCACAATTTTAAAAGAAGTGCTTAACCCCCATTAAATGTGCATTGAAAAGTAAAATCTTGTTGGTTATGCGCAAATGACAATCGCCAAACAGTTCTAGTACGTAATTTCACGTCCAAAGATGGAACCATTTGCCAAAGTATCAGATGTGCGTGCCAGCTGAAAGTTTCCGTTTCCTTATTGCCTTAATTATATTGATTTTAAAGGTATTTTGTTTGCATTGAATACTGTACAAAAAGAAGGTCAATGAAATACTCGTTGAAGCCACATTGAAAAATAACATGAACACCAACATTTCTAACGTGAATAACAATTTAATTGCTGGACACATACAAAAATCACGCACATCCTCACCAACATCTATGGGAAATGGACACTCCCGCGCACAAACACAACTTATTATGGATTTACACACTTCTAATTAAACATTTTAGCACAATTAATAAATGTAAATACACTACAGTATGGTAAATGGACAATTGTTTATAAAATCTGAATGCAAACAAAACTATTCAATTTCGAGGTATAACGAAAAGCAGGTCTATCAAATGAACGGTATTATTTGCACTGAATTAAAGGAACCTTACTTTTGTTACAATGAGAAATTTTAATGAAAAGTTACATACGACATGTGAATTTTGGTAACTGTTTAAAGAATTTTGTGTTCGCAGATAATGTTAACCTTGGTAAATGTAATGTGATAAATTTGATAAAACGCACATACACTGTCTATCGAAACTATGTCTGTGAATGCTGTGGTCACCTTCGTAATTGTAATGAAATGTCTTAAATACGATATGCTCAGAGATACTAAAAGATGTGTTCGCTGAGGTTATGGCTACATTGATAAATGTCGTGCGATATCTTGAGTTGGATATAATGTACACAGTCTGCAGAAAGTTGTGTTCAATGAGGCTGTGGTTACCTTGGAAATTCTAATATATATATATATAAAAAAGTGATATTTTACAAACGTATTCTATAAAATGCCAAGTTTGCCGAGGTTGAGGTTACATTGGAGAATGTAATGAGACATTCTGAAGGGATATTTTGCTGACGTATTCTTTATATAACTGTCGTTAATGCTGTGGATATTCCTCGTTCAATGTAAGGTGATAACCGACATTGGATATAATGTAAATATAGTCTTTAGAAAAAGTGTGTTCGATGAGGTTGTGGCTACCTTGGTACAAATGTAAAGGCAATGACATGTCTTAAATAGGATATAACGCACAATACGTGGTAAGCTTTGTATCTAGCACCCTAATGCATGTTGAAAGAGTTGCATTTCTAGTTATTTTCAAAGGTAATTTAAGGGACTATTCCACCGTTTTAGACGTATTATTATTTTCATTCGAGCTTTGTTTGAAGCATTGGACGTTCTGATTGTATGTGTGAATCCACTTGTTGGCAATCCATTTTGAACCAAAAAGCACCGGACACCCAGCATGAAGTGTATTCTGAACTCCTTCCAACTCGTCGTCAAGATTGAGCCAGAACGCTGCAGCTCCCTACAAAGGTTGTATGTACAAAATGTCAGTGACATAGTATCAAAATGAATATTATATTAATACGTTTGATGTTATCACTCAATCACAATTTTATTGGTAATATTATGAATACTCTAACACTTGCATTGAAATATCTGGTACTCAAATGCAAGGTTATGTCCGTAACACATCATAGTGTGAAATATAAGACAAGTGTTCTGAATTTCATCCAGGTTTCCAAGTAGTTTAGTTTCGAAAATAATGAAATTCATAGCTGTAACGGTTTATTTAGTAAAATAACAGTACGTATGTATCGTCGCTCAAATATCCAAGTTTCACCTGCAAACTTGCTATGAAAATCTGTTCGAACAATCATTGGTAATAAGAATGAACAATTTTCACAACCATGTCAATCTGAATTCAAGTATAAGGTAACACGCTTGTTGATATACGATTGTACAATACTTCACCAACATCTGTGTACAATTCGCCTTTACAGTGGTCAAACTCGACCAAAATGGTTCAGAATATATATCTTTTATTTCTTTAATTTTCATCTGCATTTCCTTGACATTCTAATAAAATTAACATATGATTAGCATCGAATATAGTTCGGACTGTGATTATCGCATCAAGTGGTACAAAGATCATTTGAAACCAATGCCGAAGCTCACCTTCTTTACGGGGATGTGTACGTCTATGAGAGGAAACACTGTCGCACCTCCAGCTTGTACATCACTCAGCTGAAATTCATGAAAATATGGTTTTCACACTTTACCTTAATTCCATTATCTCATTTGATCGAGAGTTGTTGAACAGGTTCTTTTACACTACACGGCACATCTAAATAATTGATACATATTTTTGTAACATGTAATGCATAGCGTAATTAACAGGAACGTATAGGTGATTTACCGAGTGTTTTCCGGTTATTAGAATCTATATGTTTATTTTTTAGCAGAAATTGTATATATGCACATGCAAAAAAATGTAGATATGAAATAAAGCTATACCATCCATATGTTCACGAGGCGTCACATGTAACACTTGCTTGTTTTGTTAATGTGCACGTGGATTAATTCATCCACCTAATCACACTACATGTATATAACAATTATACAAAACTGTTTAGCAACATATTTATCTATCACACCACTTTACACTAAAGACATTGTATATACATTAACAGACATTTTTTCTTCTGAAATTTTAAAGTAAAATGTATTCACTCACATAAAACAGCATCGTAGCTATCCGGTTTGCTTTATATTCTGTTAAAACGTCTACTTGCTGAAAGAATAAAACACATTGAAATATATTCATGATTGTATTAACATAATCCTGTTTCAATTATGCTTTCTAATAAATGGGTCTACCGATATTCGTAACCTACTGATTAGGTTAGTATTAAACGTCCATGGCAGCCAGGTTTGTTTATTTTTAACAAGTCCATCCTTTTACCACTATAATATTATCCATAGTTAAAGGTACAGAGAATAAAACGTTCATACATGTACACCAATACGTTAATAGGCCATTGAAAAGGTAATCATTGGTTTGTTTAAATTTATAGCTTAAGTGTTATATTAAAAATACTTACCTCTTTTCCGAACCAATCAAAATGAGGTTCATACTGTCCTCCCATTCCATAGTTTCCAACCTGGTAGAGACGAAATAACAATATAATTACCCTCCGTACAAGTTATTTATATAAAGTATATACAAAAAATAACAAGAAAAAACGAACAAACGTTCTTGAGTTATTGACCTAAATATCTATACTTTTAAAATATGATTTCGGAATATTTAAATTAATCCATTTGCTCCGACATGCTCAACATTTGTATAGTTCAGCATGCATGGCATATGGAATGAATAAAACAAAAGAACGCTTGTACTACCCATAAAGATTTCACTTCAAAATAAAATTCTGCAAAGCTGGACATGACAACACGTACGGTAAATCCTTCTAAACTCTGTGCAGAAGTATTGACGTTTCCTCACCTGTAGAATCTCAGCAGAAGGAGTGACGGATTTCAGCGTTGTTATTGCCTCTATCCGTTTGTTCATCCTTACAACAATGGGCTCATCATCTTCGACGTAATGGCTGAGAACGACAAGAACAACCAATAACATATTTGCACACATACTTTAGTTTAGAATATTTAGATACTCATTTCATTTTATGAATTAATTATATTCTGTTGGCTATATGCACATGTACTGACTCTATACCTACTCTGCCAATGACAGGACACTTTTTCTCTACCGATGACATTACACACGTACTCTACTACTCTACGGGTGACAGGGAGCGATTACATGTACTTGTTCTTTAGGTGACAGGGCATACACGTACTTACTATCGACTTATTCGCGAGTCCATTACCATGCCTTCATCGTCAGAAGTGGGTTTTGAAGGAATTCCCTGTGCCCTTTCAAGCTGAAAATAGAAAAAATATCAGTTATGAATAACCTTAACGTAAGGACAATATAACATAACCCGCCAATACAGTAAAATGCCACAGGATCCCCTTACTTCTTACTTATATCCATCAGGCTAGTACCAATAAATTGATGTTCTTATGTTTGTTAGTGAAGCGGTTGGCTAGCTGAACAAAATGATCTCGAATTTGATTGCAAATACAAAAAGGTAGATATGGTCATACGTCCTTTTATAATGCTAGCCTAGTAATATGATATGTTGCCCATTTTGGGGCCTAATACGTGTTACTGCACTAACGTGATCGATAGTGAGGTTCTGTAGAGTGCTGGCCTCCGAGTCCGAGAGTATGTCGTGGTAGATGACGATGTAGGGCGACCAGCTCAGGATCTCCATCTTAGCGGGCTGAATCACCAACAAGGGGTGATTGTCGTTGTTAGTGTAGGTACACACGAGAGATGGGTCTTTCAGTTTATCCTGGAATACGAAACGGGGTCTATATCAATGTTAGTACAGATAACTTAAAAGGACCTGCAATGAGTCGGGTTTTACTCCGGCAGTCAATATCCTTTGTGAATATGATATAGGTTCTAGAACCTGGTATAATAGAATACTTAAAGCTAACGCAAACGATCTGTTTATTTACATTAGGATTTCAAACACAAGTCGGAATGATATTCATCAGTTTGGTATAAATAATTCACGCTTAGTTTGTTTGTAACACAAACAAGAATCGAGAACTTATTTTGCGAGCTTTTGCAGAAGTCCGTTTCCTTTGTCAAGCAGCGAGTACAAAAGAAAGAGACGACGGTTTTGAAGGTTCGCAAAATAAGTTTTGAATTTGAAGTATTGTTTGTGATCAAACAAACTAAGCATTGATAGCAAATTCTAGTTTTCCTGAAAACCAGAGTTATATACATGTTGACGACTGATACTATTACCCTAACTTACGTGTGTAGATGAGTATGACGACTACCCAAACTCTAAGTATAACTTTAAGTTACCTAAAATGTCACTGGATCAACCGGAAGTCCCTACATTCCTTTCTTTTTGAGGTCTGGTTCGGAACAGAGTAACCGAATTGAGAACGTGCACGACTTTATATTCCCAAATCCTCTATATATGTACGCTCAAGTATCGCAGCACCCAATGGATATCATCGAGCAAGGGGCGTGGTGTAAAATAGATCCATACAATGTGTAATACCACTTTAACGATACTATAAGGATACGTGTAAGGCTAACATATATCTATTAAGCGATGACATTATATACTACTAATAGCTTAACACACAGTGAATTAATATCGATATTTACTATTCAATATAGCCGAAAATTGCAAAAGAGATCACGATATCTCTTTGGCATACTCGCCCATAGTACCGTTTCATATACTTACTTCAATATATTCTCTTTAAAGTTGTTCAAAGTACCGTTTTGTATTCTGACCCCGATAGCTCCTCGGCATAGTGGTTCATAGGACCATTTTGTATTCATTACCTCGATAGCTCCTCGGCACAGATGCCAATAAGACCGTTTTGTATACCTTGCTCGACAGTTCTTCGGCAAAGTTGTTCATATGACCGTTTTGTATGCCTACCTCGATAGCTCCTCGACACAGATGCCAACAAGACCGTTTTGTATACCTACCTCGAAAGATCCTCGACACAGTTGTTCGTAGGGCCGTTTTGTATGCCTATCTCGACAGCTTCTGGGCACAGTTGTTCATAGGAACGTTTTGTATACCTTGCTCGACAGTTCTTCGGCAAAGTTGTTCATATGACCGTTTTGTATGCCTACCTCGATAGCTCCTCGGCACAGATGTTCGTAGGGCCGTTTTGTATGCCTACCTCGATAGCTCCTCGGCACAGATGTTCATAGGACCGTTTTGTATACCTTGCTCGACAGTTCCTCGGCACAGTTGTTCATATGACCGTTTTGTATGCCTACCTCGATAGCTACTCGGCACAGATGTCAATACGACCGTTTTGTATACCTACCTCGACAGCTCCTCGGCATAGTTGTTCATAGGACTGTTTTGTGTGCAAGTTACGAACAAGTTCTCTCCCGTAATACTTGATTTGACCATCATGATGCATGTCCATGATTTCCTCTTTTATGCTTTCCTGCAGCTCTTCTTCCTGATTGTCTGTGAAATAGCGTTAAGATTATGTCCGAGGAAAGAACTAACGCTTCATATTACACATATAGCATATAATTTATAGCAAATACGTGATTTTGTGGTTTTTAATTTTCTGCGGTCTGGAACATGACATATGTGACCCAGTCTACTATGGCCTATATTTATTTAATCATAGATGATTATTAAATTGTTCGAAATGTATATTTACATTTCATGTAGTTATGTTATAATTAAATAATCACACACTTTACATGTTAGTTCCACATGAAAAAGCAATTATGCGACGTCAAAATTAAAACGTTTTTAACTTACATCCATCAGCAAGAGCCTGTAAGTCTATTGTGAAATTTCTTTTTTGTTTTTCGAGCTGAAATGAGAAAAATAATCGCCCATTTAGATTGTGTAATGACAATGACATTAATAATAAAAATACACACCACAGGTGAGTTTTCCTCCATTGTTTACTGTGCCACGCAATATGATTAGTAGCGCTTGGTGTGTAATGCATATACAAACAAGCATATAGGGAAATGTACATCAATCATCTAACAAACGTCCAAATAACAGGGGCTAAAAATCGATACTTTTACCGCTTCTACGTAATTGATAATAAGGGACGTAACAGTATCTATGGTTAACGTTGCGATATAATGATATAATAGCTCGTTATATTAAAACCTCCTCTGTGATGATAATTAATTCGTCAATTTGCCAACATGTTATTCAGAGTACATGACAGAGGAGAGGACAGAACTAAAGTTAACTCTCAAACATCCCAGTAACGTCCGTTATAATGTACTTACCAATTCAACAGCTATGGATCTAGAGGCTTCAATGTTTTTGATTGACACCTCAGCAACATTTTCCGACCAGACTGGACACGTCCCATTGTGACAGGACGTTGGTACTATGCCACTAGCTTCTTTCCGCACCTTGGCAATTGCAACGTCATACCAATCTAAGGCGAGCTGAGTAAACTCCCGTTTATGAAAATCCTGCGCTATGTTATTGCACTCGAACGCTGGGGGGAAATAAAAGGAAAGATTAGAGGTATTTCTAGGAAACAGTTGCTAATCAAGAAAAACAAAAAAACGCATATATTACAAAGTAATTTATTTGAAAGGAATAATATAAACCAGTAACTGAATCATTTTTTTTATCTACTAGAACATACAGCTATGAAATTCAAATACACGTCCACTAAGTCTAGTCGCTGAAGTTAATTAATATATGTATCACAACGTCAGCAAACAACCGTACATTTAGATCTAAAAGTCAACGCTTAAAGAAAGGGACTGAGTAGAAATTCAGGCAAAAGGAAATAACCCTCACATCTAAGCTCCTTCTCCTAGGAGTTAAAAAGCAAAAGCGGAAACGTGTTATCCGGAAGAGTTCCTTGTTTTATACGTGGCATCTTCCGACACGATATCTTCTGTCAAATCCAGAAAGAAACGAACACACACTCATGTCATTGTTTGCTGTAAATACTTACATTTCATAGTTAGGACAAGCCAACAACAACGAGAGATAGAAAATATTCTTATGGTTTTAAGAATGCAAACTGCACTGTTCTTTCTAGCACAAGGTTTGTAACGCGCATATAAATCGCCAAAAAGTGATATAAAATCGCGAATATAGATTACAACTAGATAAAGCGTTTATATAGAAAGTTGTATATGACCCAGATAACATTGACAAATATCGATAAAACTGTTTAATCACGAGTCACAATGACAAATATACAAATGTAAGAAGGCGTTTGTTATACCCGTCAAATTGACAGATACGTATCTTATGTGCTTACGTTTTCTTGATCGATTATGACAAAACTTGCCAAACGAACATGATAAATAAAAGCAGAACCAACTGCAACACAAGTAATATATCACTATTTCAGTCAGCTTAATTGATTCATAATGCCTAATGTTCGAAAGAGTCAAAAGATGGCCCAAAACTTCCGCACATATTTGAATCTAGTTATCGTTGTAAACAAGCACTTCTTTGAAGTTACGATACAGGGAAATGGTATTCAATCCAAAGGTGAGCAACGCGGATATGTCCATGCTTTACAGACGTGAAAGAAATATACAAATATAAAAAAATAAACAAGAAATGGACTGGCACCATTAGTCAAATGGAGTTTAAAACTAATTCTGGTTTACAAATGGAAATGTGCACTTATAGAAATAAAAGAACTCCAACAAGTCTCTCTCGGTATATGTAATGTTATACTCACTAGTTAACTCACACTGGTCATTATAGTAGTATTTACATATTTCCTCAAAGTCAACGAGAAAATGCACACACGTAAATATGATATTATACATAATGTATTTATTTCGTTAAAATTAATCAGTTAGTTCACTCATATAAATGAATATAAAGCCCGTGCATACGTTACTCCCCGACTCACCCGAATTAATTTAGTCTGAGATCGTTTCAAACTTACCCGTTATCTCGCCTGTGTATATGCCCTTCACGGTACCGTTGGCGATTTCACTGGCCGAAATTTTATAAGTATTCAGTAGACGGGCAAAGCCGTCGGTTACGCCATCCATGTCCTCTGTGCCCGGCATGTACGCCTTTTTCAAATTCTGAATGTCTTCGAGAGCTGGAGGAGGAAATTGAAAGTCATTTGTTTCCACTGGAAAGTGTGCATTTTAAGTATTTCGGTACATAAGCATTATATAAGTTTAACAATACCTTTATTGGAGCAAATGCAACTTAAAGACATTCACATTTACAGGAAGATTTTTTCATGGTTAGGAAATAAAAAAAAAACGACTTGAAAAATTCACCAAGCGAATGATCAGTGAGTAAGGAAATCCTTTACCTCGACTCTTACCTTCTGTTTGATTATTCTCCTGATACGCAGTGAAGGTCTCGTCCCATTCGTCAGTGTAAGCTTTAGTGAACTGGTACACACTGACTGGGTTACCAGCCCACCCATCCTTGTTATCCACAAACTCGTCCTGCAGTTGTGTTAATCTTTCGGCATAACTGGTTGTTAAACAATTATGTTAAAAATATCGTGAATATATCTATTTTGTATTTTACTGATTAGAAAGGAGGTACTACATGTCTTTTTTTCTCTATGATAAATACATTTTGTGTTTCATCTCGGGATCAAGCATTTACATGTATCTGCACTTAAGAAAATGCCAACGGGGCTTATTTAAAGTTAGTTTTTATGATCAGCTATCCCAAATAGCTTAATAAATAAATAACTCGAGTCTACAGGTATACAGGTAGTATAACCAACTACTTTCTGTGGAACATATATGTATATACATGTAGTGGACACTTGGCAAGAGGAGGTGACATAGTTATTAATACGGGAGTCCTTAGCTTGAGTAATGCATGTTAGTGACAGTCTGAGGTGTCATGTAGAGATGGACCGAGCGAGAGGTGATAAAGTATACAGACAGGCTAAAAACAGGCAAATTAACCGCCATACTTTATCTTCTGTGCGAAAAGGTTTTAACAGTCAGACAATTATGTATACTAATAGTACGTTAAGATGTATGGTTCATTGATATTTGCAATATTGTTTGCATCTCACGTAAACTGTCCGACACCGATACTATGTTAAATACATTAATTTTTACAGTTTATATAAGTCAAATACACCTTAAAGGGAGTTGAATGGGAGAAATACATGGCATCTGTTTGTTCAATTAACTGTTCAAATCTGTGTAATGTAATTTCTATAACATTCTCAACACCAATCTTCTAATAACTGACCTTAAATATTCAAATACAACTTGTCATACACTGTCACTACCTGCCTCCTCCATGTCATAAGCTGAAGTCATAGGTAGTACAGGTATACTGAGTTTACGTTTGGATGGAACTTATTCTGTGTTAAATATTTGATAGGATGAATATCTGTTTTTTTTTCTACTTTATCTTTTACTTTAAAGCTCGCCTATATGAAGAAATGTTGTGAGGGTTTGGGGAAGTGTGTTTGGGGCTGGGGACTGGGGAAGTGTGTTTGGGGCTGGGGACTGGGGAAGGGGTGTTTAAGGTGGATTCGTAATGAAATGTAACTGGGTCTGTTCATGAAAGCAATATTTCCAGGTAAGATGCGTCCTTTTGACCAACAAAATATCAAAACAATGGTTCCTTCCCAGGGAGTTTTGATCAACGTTTACCTGATTAAATAATATTTTATCATAAATGATGTAAGAGAATTTTCAAAGCTTAAGCAAAATATATTCAAAACAAATGATATCTTACATAGGCATATAACATATCTAATATAATCATATGAAACACAGGATTGACATTGCTTCTTTTAGGTCTTGTTCTATATGTATTAGATAGGTGTGACTTATTTCACTTCCCTGGATTTGGCAGAAGACAATTAAACATGACGAGTAATAAATATGCTACAGAACAAGTTAAGCTCTTCAGATCATCTAATTTCAACAAAACGTTAGAAGCAGTTTTCTATTGTAAATAGATATTCTTCAATAAGGAAAAAATACAATTGATACTATCTTTTTATTATAATTATATTCTTGGTGATTAAATTATCCTATTACGTTGACAAATGTTAATATGAATTGTTCATTTAAATTTATATGTAAACTTGCTTGTGTGAGTGACATTAACACGAAACATGGACAAGGAGTTTCTGTCAAACATGTCCTGCCCTGAATTAAAAAATACGTTTTGGTAAAGAAAAGGCACCTGCCGTAAATTATAAGTACAAGGTGTTAAAAAGATATAGTAGCTGGAAGATTTGTAGCCCCACTTTCCTTACCAACTTTTAGTATAGTGACAATGTGGGATATAAGGTCAACGTTTAAATGTATCACAGAACGGACGTCTTTTCAAGTGAAGCTTTACCACACAGTTCCATAATCAAAAGAAAAGAATATATACGACAGGCTTTAGACGTTTGTCTGTTATTACCTGTCTGAATTATAATTAACAGATTGATACTATTAATTATTAAACTGATAGTAAGCAGCTGACGTGACTCGTATCAGGTAAGGTCTGTCCTTAATACACATCAACACAATACACGACCACGTGTACCTGTGTAAATGTAATATACATTTGCATACGGAGCTTCAGGAAATAGACCTCATTGAAACAGGGATGTTCAATATTTGTATTTGTTTATGTTTAGGCTGTATCAATTTATGCTCAGCTGTTAACTTATGGTATGTTCTATGCATGTTGTTGAACCAGGCTATCCCATTTATAGTGTATTGAACCTGTTCATATTTATTATTAGAGTTGAGATAAAATCTTATTTTTTATATTTGTAGTGCATTTCAAACTAGATTCAAAACTGATTTCAGATTGTTTAATTAGTGCTGATATGTTAATATTACTGCCTTTCCGTTTCATTTGAAAAAAATAATCGTATGACGAGTTCGGAGTTTAAAAATATATATAATATACTTTCACGTGACGAATGCAGAAGGCAAGTACCTGTGAATCCTGGTTTGGGTAAAACGTATATGTAGTACCATCATACAGACGCTATGTTTTCTACTATTAAGTTCTAATAATAAATTATGTAGAATTTTACCAGTCACTTACTTATTAGCATTTTAAATGTTTTATCAATGTTTGAATGCTTTATGAAAACATTTGACTCATACGGTAGGATGATAATTTAGAGGAGATGTAAATGAATGGATTGTGACGTGTTATGAAGTTCCTGTTCCTTAAGGATATCCTAATATTCAGTCGCCAGGCAATATCCTAACTGAGCCATATTGTATCTGAATGAGTAACGCAGAAGAACTGCTAGCATATTAAGGTGAGAAACAGCCAACAATATTCGTTACTATAATGCATATATGCCAACCAAGAGCAACACAAACCAGTCATTCTTTATTTTCCTGTCGAAGGTAGTAAGTCTCTCAGTGACATGTTTTGCACGTGGCAGTTGAGCGAGATCTAACTGTTAGCCTACAGTTCACCTTCTATTTTCGTTACCATAGCAATGTGACGTTCAAAATAGGATTAGATCAGACCTCAGAATAATGCTTATATCACATTATTATTGATATCATGTATGTTGAATATCAATTTCTGAATTAGAGCACATGGGATTGAATAATACAAGACTTGGAATTAAATTTGAAAAAGATACTAATTGCAGTTGTCTCTTACGTAAAAACAAAAAAAGTATTACATTCCATGTATAAACTTAATCTTAAAGTATATTTATCTGTGGAACATTTATATTGTACGAAGTGATGGAAGATCAACTTAACGTCCAATTAAAATTTGCTATATTTAAAAAAACCATATGGATGAGTGGGTTGACTTTTAAGTTCAGGTGTCTGTGCGAGGGCGGGGACAGGAATATTAGGATTCAACCGCAAATGGAGTGAATAGCAGTAAAGTTAGCACGTGGTAAACGTATTAACGATAATGTGACGTAAACAAAAATCATGCCTATGTAATCACTGATCCGAGGTTAGGTGGACTAGCCCAGTTGAATTTACCTCATCCGTTAATGGTTAAACACATACACGTGAACATGTATAATTACTAAGATTAAACTTACAGAAATTTCAGAATTATTTTATGGCTTGAATATAATTAACTATTTAGTTATATGAAAAGAACTATTCGTTACCACAAGTGTATTGAAGCTTTTCGTGAAACACGTAAAAACCATTTACTTACTCTTTCAATTCGGCCAATCTGCTCTCTTCGTTCACAATGTAAACATCCAACCTTAATGAAATCTGATTGGCATCTTTTATGGCATTATATATGTAATCCATAGAAGTAAATAGTTCCGAGTAAGTTACATGTAAAAGTGTATAAAACACACATAATGCGATCTTGGTGATCATGTCGTCTCGGCTGACCATACAGTGTCTATAGCCCTGTTAAAGCTAACTGCCACGGTCGGTTGATCAGGCGTGAGTACAGTCATTGTCATCAATCAAGACGATTCTTACAGGTAAAAAGATGGCGTACAGGTAAAACGACAATGAAGCATCATTGACAGGCTATGTGTTATTTGTGTATGAAAATCCCCGAGGCTCTGATCGTCATAGAACTGCAAGGTTATTATATATACACTTGGTATAGTCAAATATAAACACTGATTTATTATTCTTATGTAAGATTTTTAATAACTGATATTTTAAAATCTTGAGATGGTTAATTTTAATATAATTTTCTGATCGCTTACAACGTCAGAAAAGCAGTAAGTTCAAGTGTCGTATCAGACACAGGAAATTTCACAAATACTTATAAATTGCAATATATTCAATATCCGGTAAATTAGTACATTAACATATATGTATGTACTTACTGAACTGCACTAAGACATCTTTTTCTTATTTCCTGTATTATCATATTATCAAAACCTTAAGTATTTGACTCGTGCTTATCTTTAATATCATTTAGTAAGATATACATCCATTATCCTATTCCCCAAAATAGGGCACCGACATCGACAGTAATTTCAATTAGATTTGCTAGGAACTGTCTATGCTATCATGTCAAATACTTGTCTTGTAACTGACAATGTTATTAATATACGTATGATGAAGTCACACTGATTGTTTTAAACGACTTTATCAACCGAATAATAAAATAAATATTTTCATACAGTTACTAAAGTATATTTTTTCTGTGTTTCAAAATATCTATTGCTTCAATTTCAACAATTTCAAGTTACATTGTAAAACATTGTTGAATTAATCTACTTTAGACATTGAAAACTATCCTTTAGGTCACTAGTTCGATAGCAAGACACCTGGAATGAGACGGAATTAGTCAATTCTTTAAGTTGACCTGAAACTATCTAGTAGCGTTAACTTAATGCTGGATACTTATTTAAGTGTAATTGAGGCCGATATGTTACAGCAAAGTGACTCACTGATTAAGTAAACAACTATCAATGGTTTATGCAACTGAATGCACAATTATCAATGGTTACCGCAATCGAATGAACGTCCCACGATATATGTCAAAATCTAGTTTTTATAGATGACTGTAGGTATAGATCTGTGGTTTAAAATTTAGAATTTAGAATTTAAAAAATCAATCTGAAATAATAAAATAGATAAATGAAATCTGTGTGAATGATATACGTACGATGACAATTGAAAATAGTGTCCTCATTAGTCGTGTCTGTATCCTTATTTGTTCATAAAATTTGTTTTTTCTTACCCAACAGGCCTGAAGCGTTTTCAAGACTATTTTGGGCTATTACCTTATTGACGGACCTCTTGTCAAAGATAAATGTGTCAATATGGTTAATGACATCACAAACTGTCATGTTTTCCTTTCCTCCTCAGGCAAACAAGTATACTACAATCACATAACATACTATGATTCAGAGATGCCTTTTTATATTGTTTGTATGCAGGAAATTTCAGTTTAAATTAAGACATATTAGCAGGTAAGCAAAACGTTATCTATTAGACACATCCAGCACTGCTATGATTGATTATTATTAATTGTAGTCTTGTATGTGCAGTTTTCCGAAATAGAAGTATTTCATTATATCAATTTCTGGTTAAAATATCAAGAGCTGACAATAATACATGGATTTTAACATTATCATAAATAAGACTCCGATCCGGATATGTGTAACGTAGAGCTCTAGATGCGGTTTTACTTAGGATTCGTGTTTATATAATTCAAAATTATAAATACAATGATTGCATGAACATGTGACCAAACTTAATTCAAAGTATTACCAGAAAAAAACCTATCATCTCCTAACTATTGGTCTGAAGTTCAATTCGAGGACAGTGTAACGCTAAGGATTACGTGTATTGTATGAACGTCATTGTTGTGTAATTTTGTGCCGTATACTTCGACATTTTCTTTATTAATTATTATTATTTGCAGTTTGCCGTTTCAAACAGCGATCTCATCAAATTACAAGTATAAGTTACCTGAATGATACGCTAATTAATGGCTTGTCTTAAATCGATCCATAGAAAAACTTAAACAACAAACTGTTATCTTTACATTCGTTACGCTATACAGCTGTCTACTAATTCAGACGATGTAGTACGTTAGTTTCTGCAATTAATACGCACGATGTTTATGTAAAGAACTAATTTGATATTTGGTATCTGTATGTATGTACAGTCAATATCGTCGAATAATTCTGTAAAAATATAATTTTGCCAGGATATATCACTGAATTGAGAGTAAGAGTAAATATCATTCGAAATCGTTTAAATTCAATTATAGTTAAGTTCTTACATCACGCATAGAGAGTACAAAAGGGTTAGGCGGTTGGACGAAAAGAAAAGATAACTGAAAGCATAGTAAACGCTAACATTATATTTTAACACCTTTTGTCTTATATAATATTTTCTATTGCAATGCTCCATGCGCTGATTTACTATACAAAATTTATCAACAAGCACGTACACACATATCTTCACGTGTTAATCAATAACGAAAGTTGATAATTTCCAATATAGAAAATTCGATAATTTAATATTATTTCATTTTAAGATTCTAATAAACTTGCCTATTTCGATAATTATATCATTTTACAATATTTCACTGTAACCTGATGACGTGATCGGGGAAAGCTCTTCTTTAATTCACTTGGAACAGACTGAAAAATGGAAACAAAGGAAATGTGTCTTCAGTGACATTTTATTGTAATTATGTATACCAAAGGTTGTACATTACTTTCCATAGTCATAGCCAATATAAATATGTTATATATAATTCACATCAAAAACAGAATAAACAATATGATGATAATACTAGTAACAAACTGAATAAACTTTATACTATAATACAGTATAATTGAAAGGGACGAATCAAACAAGATATCACAGCTATAGTATATATCACATTTTCACTGAGTTTTGTGGCGCAGTTTTTTTCCACAGAGAACGGCATTTCGTCAGGTCAAAAACGTGTTTGTAGGTGGCTTCTCACCGTGGACCATATTCATACTGGCGAAACTCCCCATCTTTGTTTTCCTTGCCTTCGATCTGTAAATATAGAAAAGATAACAGATATTTTCCACATTTCATTTCTTGACAAAACATAATATGTCAGTTTTGATATTTGGTTTTGCTTTCATTTTATTTTGAAGAACTAAACAACATTCGGGTAATTTTTATCGTCCGATTATTCTAAATGGGATTGCAGACAATTCAAATAACACAGAGTAGTGATAAAATGACAGCCGTCCAGAATTATGAAACCATTACTACGAACATAGAGCAGTTAAAATTACTCACGCTTTATTTTATACTTAATTAGAAAATAATTTATGAATTCTAACTTCAGTATAAGGAACAGTTAACAGTCGGTGATTCATCAGCACTGCTATGTATATGACTTCAAAATTGTAATGTTGTAATAATTATCAGAGTTTAAGTGTCATAATTGCTAATAAAATTTGCAAAGAATATAGAGTTGGATTGTAAAGAAAATGTAGATATTACTATTTAACATGATGCATGTGTATGAATAACAATACTGCAGAAGAATGCAATTTATTTACTGTTTGACGCACTTAACATACCTATATCTTTTATAATACATATTTTTGTAACTTCATTACAACGGCAAACTGTCGAACGGAAATTCTTCACGCCCGAATTATTTTCGCACTTTTTACTTTGACCGGAGTGCTTACAATTCGCCCAGTTTCGAATTTGCGTATATATACCAATAATTATACGCCGACACGTTCGATCAAGTGCGAATTTGTTTTATAATGCAAAGGAATGAAAATTGATTGGCGATGATTTTTAGTCCAGTCCAAGCCATTATATAGATACATATTCTTTGTATATCATTAAATCTACAGTATACAGAAGACATTTCACCTCAAATAATAACGAATACCACCTCACAAAATACATGTTATCTAAATTATCGACGAAATATGTGGGATAATGGATACCGACTCCCTAAATCCATGTGATGTTAAGTATATCGACGAAATCCTGCCTCAGGGGATAACAGATACCAACTGACAAAATGCATGTTATGTTAGGTATATCGACGAAATACTACCCCGGGGGATAACGGATACCAACACACAAAATAATTTAAGGTATATGGATGAAGTCGTACCTCAGGTGAAACCGTATACCGATTCCCAAAACGACTCCACAAAGTACCACGGCGGCGACTGTACAACCAATGATGATCCCCAAACTGTCACCGCTGTCATCCTCTGATTAATGTAGAGTCATTACTGTCTAGGTTAATGTTATGATAAATACATCTTTAAACAATACTAAACAAATTACAAGGTCAGTGTATTTTATGGGGAACATTAGAGGAATGTTTATACAGTAAATAAAAACTTTCAATTAATTGCTATTTCATATCAATGTCGCAAACAGCAACAATTTCCCAATTCGGATATTTTTACTTTGTTTAATTTTAAGATCAAATTCTTTAAAATTAATTACGTGAAATCAATTAAGTGAAATGAAAATATTATAGATGATAATTGATGATAATAATAAACTTACCGTCGGAATTAACACCATCTTCAATGGGCACGGCAACTGAAGTAATAATTCATGATTAATTATAGAATATAATTATATGCAACACTAAAACTATTTGCAGTCTACAGCTGTGAAGCATATACAGATATATACATCTATTTACACCTAATCCTATAAGAACAATAATGTATTTTATTCACCATCTCGAAACAAACAAACAAGTTATGTATAATACTGTCTCACCGAACCGTATATATCATTAAGTGAAGTGAAAACGCCGGTCATACCAGCCTCCCATCTATTTGTCTTAAAAAAACACCGGTCATGCTTCTAGACTGAACGAAGTTTAACAATATTAGCATCCGTTAAACCTACACTACTTATCATCTTACCTATGATATACACCTACAATTAATTTCGATGTCATTATCAATATATTTCAAATACGCTATAATTCTCTACCTCACATGCTCTATCGAACAGCAATAATAACATTAGCATAACAATGTATATATTATAATGAGGAAGGTTATTTATTTGTAAGGAAGGGAGTCATAATCGGATCATAATCCAGAACAGACCACCTTCTCAAAACTGCTTTTAATGTTTAAAAGTGTGCGTTGTTTATGATTTACAATATAGCCTGAGAATAAATACATGTAGCACCGGTTTTTGATCTGAAAATGTTTTATCCACCTCATGTTCAAATAACATCTGAAGACATTTTTCAAGGTTAGAAATTAGCAATTGATTTACTTTAATAAAATGGCGCGTGCGAGGACATCATACTTTTTTTCTTCTGTCGGATAATAGGAATAAACTAAACATATTGAAAAAAACCCACATTCAATAAAAATTCAAACTTTCCATGGACATGTGCTTTTGATGGCTTTTCATAACCCGCAAAATATGAATAAAAGATCCTCATACTTACCGTATACCATGCCTTCTAAAATATGCTTACCTTTTGTTATGAAGTATGCCTAATATATCAATATGCGACAAACACTGCCGCTAATATAACTTACATGGCTATTTGTTTATACGGTATAGGACACTTATGACATAACATTTATAGATTAGACAAGACAATTGTTATTATATTTAAGTTAGAAAATGACAGGTACTATATACCATTAAGTCAAGTGTGGGTAAATGCAGATAACAAATATCATTATCATGTAAATATTCCCCCGTTCTTATCAAGACATGTTCAATCACAACATTGACAGGGTATAATCGTTACGGAGAGAGTATCAATCATGCGCTGTTTCAAGTCAATTATTACCTTTTGTTTCATATTCATATACATATACAGTGAAAACACCCATCAAATGGCAAAGTACCCACCAGAACAGTCAGCCTCCGAAACAGATCCTATGAACTCTGTCGACACCCCCTTGGGGCATTTCTTACAAGCTTCAGATCCCGTCAGGTCCTGGTATGTCCCGTACTTACAAGGGAGACAACTGTCACGACCTGAGCTGAAGGTGCCTTGTGGGCAGTCGACTGTTAGTCAATTAAATCAATTATGAAATGCATTACTTCAATTATAGCTTGGAAAATGTATAATGTTGATTTTGAAAATTAAGTTTTACGCAAATAATACATTCTTATTGATATTGCAGAATGTTTATTTCAATCATCCTTGTTTACCAGGAAGGAAGTGGCAGTGGGTCTTAATTTATGCAGCGAATACCAAAGTGATCGGGCAGGTGCTCCATACCTTTTCACCTACAGTAAGGGAATCGAAACCCCGGCGAGTATGTTATCCAGTTATCTTGCCCCACGTGGACAAATTTTGAAACATTTCGTATTTTACTTTGTTCGTTCCTTTGTGGGGTAATTGCAAGAAGAAGAAAAAATGTATCAATTGGAGAGGTTATGTTAAGAACTAAGTAATAAGTCATTCGAAAACTATATATCAAAATTCAACCATGCTCAAACCAGAAAAAAGCCTCTTTTCTCCCTGAAGTGTTACATGTCTAGATAAAGCAATTTAATATTTTCAGTTTGATGTAATTAAACCTCAAACTGCTAGAATGTTCACCAACTGAACATTGTTTTTTAAATGCCAAACAAATACAAACAGAGCTTTCCGAAACACATTGCGCATGCATCAGTTTGGCAATTGGGTTCGTACACACAAATATGCCATTACACTTGCCCAAATTATATACATCTACTCTTTTTATTTTTCTGATTAACTACGGTAATATAACGCTAGGGGTATGGAATTATATCCTGACCACACTAAATGAAGCGCGACGTACCACACAAAGCCTCCAGTCTGACCTTGCCCTTGTCGCATCTCACGCTGCCGGTGGACACTATTGTGAGGACATTGTACACGTTACCGTCCACATTAAACGTCAAAATATCCCGCGTGCTGTTCAACTGGCGGACCGACGTCTCCAGGTCAGCAACGGATTGTAGTAACTTCATCATAGCAGGACTCACTAAAACAATGCACAACACACTCAACACATGGACCAATATGGATGCGACAAAAACTATCACTACTACCTAGTAATGTATAATCATCCAACAATATCCTACATGTTATTTCATATTCAGAGATGCAAATTACCTATGTAATGTATGGTATATGACATAATTCAATATGAAATGCAACTCCGCTGGAAGTTCTTAATTATTTTTCAGGTGTGAAGAAAATCACACTTTGTTAAATCTAGACATATATTCGGCAACGTTCTATTATCATTAACGGCTTATTCTATGCTGTTGTAAGACATTTAGTATTTGTAACCTTCTATTGTTTACAAGTGTAGTTCCACGACACTAAAGTACATACTTGTTTGTACTATTATCTCGCTGTAGAAAGGTTAGTAAATACAAAAGACGTATGAGTTTCTGCTTGTTATACATCTCCTTGTGTGACATGTTGCTTTTAGAAATTTAATAAGCAAATTCAAGTTAAACTGTTTACCTGCGTTTGTCTTGACAAGGTTTTCCATATCAAGATTATTGCCCTTTACAAGTGGCACTCGGAGAGTGATGATCGCTTTTACACCACTCAATGAACGCTTCGACCGGTCACCGGAACAACCTGGCGTGTCATAAAAAATCCTCTCTTTATTATGAACTATGATTTTTTTTCAATATAATGCCTTCGAGTTGCCCCCAATATGAAACTATTAGCGCTGGAGTACATGTGAACCCCAAGCCAGGCAACAGCAGTACTACAGGTGAAGTTGTTAAAACAGGTCCTTTTGTCTTTGCAACTTGATTAGGTTTCACAGTTTTTGACATTGTGAACCCACTTTTCAACTAATGTGCACTTATTTTATGAAAACACCTTTAAAATCTATCATTGAATATTGAAAATAGGACGTTTGAATAAATATGAGGAAAATATTATTAAATTTGCGATTATAGCACAATGTGATAGACATTTAATTTATGATAGCAAAATATGGATTTTAAATAGGGTCAGACTGAAGTGGCGTAACAGCTGTCTCTAGTCAATGTATGTAGTTTGAAAACACTTTCCCTCCCCGTTTGATAAGATAAAAATCTGAAAAACATTAAATCGTCGCGTCATTGATAAATCACTTGTCCTTCCGCTAAATTATCACAATAGTTATGAAGGTTCGCGCAATAAACAATGACTAATTTTACTGTATATATTACAATTTAGGATATTTCTAGAAATTTGTAAATCTATGTATTACCTTCAATCGTGACATCTATCTCACATGTCTGGTTATGGGAACATTGAAGCTTTTCCCTGGACTTCTTCACAAGTGCGTCTTTGAACTTTTCAGGCTCATGGCATGGCGTGACTGAGTTGTATTGTATTGTAGTCGAGGTTTCAAGCAGCTCCGGAGTGTACACATCTTTAAAACGGAACTTATTACAAAGGGCAACAACTTGTCAATGTCTCTTTTAATAGTGTTGTACATTACGTGTTTATTATGACAACAAATAATCCTTTTAAAGAAATATGAAAACACCAACAGAGTAGGTAGCGATTAAATATTATGATACGCGATAATTTAGCTCTCACATCAGTAACTAATTTTACAGGTAGTGATTTGATTAACTCATACCCGTGACAGACTACAAAGGTGGGGCTGCGATTTTTTCACATTTCACATCTCCGATAGAATACTATTACGTTTTAAACGAACTCTTTCCTGGACAAACAATCTTAATTTTTCTGGAATGAGGTTTAGATATTATACCATATCGTAATTCTCTCGAACTCCCTACTGTAGAAATTGATAGGTTTTTTTACCAAGGCGCTTTAAAATGTTTAAAAGCTTTATTGTATGTGAGGTAATGTTAAAACGCTTGTCGTATTCAAGGTACCTGTTTAATATGTTGTTCATAGTTTGCCTGAATGAAATAATTGGTAGGTTTGTTGTGTAATTGTTTGAACCTTTTCTATTGAGAGTGGTTAGTTGTTTTACTAAATATTGTTATTGTTACTTACTTGAACAGGAAGGGGGCTTGCCATTCCACTGGTACGCCGTTTCCTTTCCACATTTATACTCTTCAAGGGGAGTGAATCCTGGCGTAAACCACATTCCATCTCGACAGCTCACACTACAGGATAAAAGATCGCTGGATCTATTGCATGACATGTGTGATCCATAGGACCGCGGCGGGTGTGGACAAACTGAAACACGGGTTGAAATATGACTATACTATCTCAAAATGGCTATACTCTAAAAAAGTTGTTGAAAATGTTTTTCTCAATAAATTTTAAGTTTATTCCTGTAGAAAATTTCACGTATTATCCTCAAGTTGAAAAAAGTTTCAGCATATTTTTCATAAAAGATATTTCTATGTGTGATAATATCATCTACATTACAAAACCGTTTATTTGTATTTAAAAGCCGTTTTACTTCTTCCCTCCTGTTTTGTATGTTAAGAAGTTCAAACAAACTAAAAATGAAAAATACAGCATCTAATTGTTCAGTTAGAGTGGGAAATATACATTTCCGACCTAAATTTCAGTATATTTGAATTTGAACTCTTGCTATTGCATGAAAATACAAAGTTATCCAGCCATTACACAAGACCTAACATAAAAATGTACGTTAAGCCAGTATTACCTGGGCAGGGTTTTACATTGCATGCTTCCGTCTCGTTTGCTTGACCTGTGCATGGCTTGCCATCAGGGTCCGGAGCGGGACTGTCACACACGCGATTCCTGACCATTTGTCCTCCTTCACATGATTTAGAACAAATCGACCAGTCTCCCCATTGGCCGTATCCACCGTCCACTGAAACATCCAATCCATTAGGTTTATATCATTTACCTCACACATATCGTTTTCCTTCATTACAATATTTAAACAAAATACCCAATTTACATGCACTATTTGCTGAGAGTTCGAGCCCAATTTTGCAATGGTCCATTTAGTTTTTATTTAATAATTGAAACAAACAAAATTAATCATTTATGCTACACATATGTTCCTTTTTATTATTAATAAACTATATTGGCGTATTAAATCATGGATACCTATCTTTGATTCGCAGAACTGTCCCTTAAATCCAGTCAAACATGAACAAGTGTAATTGGTCAGCAGGTTGTGGCAGGTGGCGCCGTGTTCACACTTGTGGTTCTTACAGTAGTCTGGAGGAATTTGACATGTATTTCCTGTGTACCCATCAGAACACTGACAGGTGAACGTGTTTAGTCCATCGATACACTTGTGACCATTACATGGATCTAGGATGCAGTCGTCTTTTGCTTAAATATAATATTATATGCATGATCAAAATATGAACATAAAACTTTGATGAAGCAAAACTTTTCACATCGGTAAGCAGAGTAGATTCACATATACATATAAACAATTTCTCAGTAGAACAGGGGATGAATACGTTTAAATGATTAATATATATTTACATTATCGAACACAAGATAATATTTTAATATTTTAAAGTAAACACGCTGGTACTAGTAAAGAGTTGTCAACTTCATTTGGATAGGAATTTACTGATTGTTAAAAGTAGTTAGAAGTATACTCACCGTCACATGTACTCGGTGTAACGAGGTCCAGCCCCTCGACATATGTCTGTAAGAAGTGGTCCATGTAGAGCGCTCCAGTTTGACTGGTGTAGCAGGTCGCTGCTAACGTCTTTATAGCGTTGCCGGACAAAACGGTGGTTTTCAATAAAAGACCGGAAATGTGTCCAGCTGTAATGAAACGCTTACCGTAGAAAAATAATGGAATTCTCATTTGTGGGATGGGATCAGGATAGCATGGGAATGGGTCTAGCCTCTGAAGTAAATTATCAGATATAGCGTGATATTCCCTTTATATTTACACAGACGTGGCATAACAAAGTAATATTAAGGTCATTAACTGTTTAATTTTATCTATATAAACCATAATAGATAAATAATAATGTATAATTCTTAACATTATGTAACAGGTTTGATATTTTATGCTTGAAAAAAGCAAAATGTACAAAAGTTCGTTGTAGAAGAAGTAATCATGGGGATATGAAATTAGCTGAAATCATCAATAGACAATATAAAGTGGTGTAGAAACTTACCTGTGGATGAAGGGCCTTTAAATGACAAAGACAAGTCTGACCCAGAAGGTATTGTTGTTATCCCGGCGGTAACTGACGTCAGTTGTGACGTAAATTGCTCAGTACCCTGGACAAACAGTTTTAATGTAGTAGAGACTGCATCCCAAACTACAACTATATGTTGCCAGACTCCCCTTTTGATTGTTACACCACTGGATCTCAGAGAGCTGCAATCAATGTCAGGTAGTGGGATTTTTAATACACAACTTTGTCTACACAAACAGTTTCTTAACATATCATTTTTCAAAAGTAGGATACATTCTAAGAAATACAGTTCTATAGTATCCATAATATCAAAGAAGTATTCAAATAAAATTAATTACTTTAGAGTATTGTCATTTATTGTCAATTATTCCAGCATTTCTACACAAGAAATACGAAGTACATGATTTATAACTTTTACAAGATGCATATATTCTATGTATAATAAAGATATGGCTTTCCTTGAACATTTTATTTTATGTCAATCTATTTATCAATGAATAAAGCAAAGACCAACAGATGACATAAAATACAATATTCTTTTAGTACTGGTATAATCCCGTACGTATCACCTGTGTAAGGTAATGTTGACACTCTGTCCTACGTCGACGAAGATTTCTTGCGCTTCTTTCTTTACAGACAGTTGTAAACTGATGTCGTCAAACTTTGAAAGTTTGACCCATGATGCTAAGGTGAAACTAACAAGGTCGCTTGAAATACTGCCCACTGTTGTTGAGTGAGCGCCGCCACGGATTGCAACATCAAAGGCTATAAGAAAAAGAAAACAGTGTCTGACCAACTTTACAGTAAGCCTGACGATATTAATAACGTAGTAAGACTTTCAAAAAGCATTGATATTATCATGTTGGAGACAAGTTAATTTCATTTTTAGACCAGCCCAGAAAGTTTGCTGAACGTTTACTGCAGATTAAAGGGGAAATATCAGTTGAGTTTGTATGTAGGATATTGAATTCGTTTTTATTCTGTACGGAAAGATTATGGAAGTTTTCATTTCACTATAAGCTAATTCAGATGTATAAAATAACTAACAATTTATCACCCATATACCTCCATGACATAACTGATCCTCTTCTTCACAACCCAGAAAATGATAGGTATACTCTAAAAAATTGTAAGAATGTTTAACCCGCCACTATGTCGTACATAATTCTACGCTAAATGTTCAATGGACTTGAAAATGATATAGAACATTCCCCATCTCTAATATATGTAAGGCCAAGGTATATAATGAAATATGTTTCTATAATGATATCTCTGATGTATTCAAAAATTGTGAAGCCAGATACAAATATATAATCTTATGTCAACTGATAAATGAGGCGAGTAACTTGAACTATGATCTGTTCAAAGATCACTTGAAAGAGTCTCCATCTTGTCTGTGTGGTGATGATTATGAAACTGCTATCCATTATCTTTTACAATGTCCAATGTATATTGATGAGAGACAGATTCTAATAAATGAGATTTTTGAAATGTGTCCGGTTAATCTTGATACTGAAATACTTCTTAATAGAAGCACTATGTTAAACAATACTGAAAATAAATCTATACTTGATAGTGTTCTTAAATATATAAACAACACAACAAGACTTGTTTTATTAGTTAAAACAATCTATAAATTTTATTATATTTCAAAATCTTCAAGCTGAATTGCCTCATTTGATTTTTTATATTTTGTTGCTGTTGTATCCATTACTTTCTTATCACTCCTACCAATGGATATATATTGATACTACATGGTTCTATACTTTTAACTACTTCGTGTAACAACAGCAGCAGGGTATGAACAGGGGGCATTTATGACTTGCATAAAAATAAAAATAAAATTATAGCAATTTCTTATCATTATATCATTAGGGCATTGCTGCCTATTACTAATTAGTTCTGATTGACTTTTTAATAAGAGCATTGTATAGATCAAAATATCAATTAAATATTTATATATAATTGAAACATACATGGATTTATCTCCCTTATACCATCTGCTATATATAGACTGGGGAATTTATGCTAGTTAAAATATATAATTTGCATTATTATTTTCTTACTAACCGTTTCATCTTTGCCTTTGTCATGTCAACCTAAGTGGATAACTTATAAAGGCCTAGCCTGCTGTTCAATCCTATTGTTTACTCAACATAATATGATGAAATGAATGAAAAAGTTTTCATTTTCATACGTCTTTTTCGTTTTTAAACGAACGATTCCATACCTTTTTCATTAATCGCATTCCATATGAAAGAAATTCAACATCCTTTTTATCCTATATTCAAACATTTGTGCTTAAAAAATGAACTTTTTTCTTTTACTATCGTCAAGTATTTTATCGGCATCTTCATTGCATAACAAAAAAGAAAAGGGACAAAAGGATTGCATTTTTTTGTTGATACACTTTTAAAGATTTATCTGACACTGTCAATTGTTTAGTTTGTCTAGTTTGTATCTATATTTTAAACTGCGAATTGTTCCGTTTGTAGATATATATATACAACACTGCCAATTGTCTTGTTTACAGTTATATATCACGTTGTCAAATGTATAGTTTTATAGTCATGTATAACATTGGCAAGGTAAAAGTCGATGTTAAAGTATATATCATACCATTAATTAACCAGTTTATAGTTCTATATAATCGTGCCATCTATCTTGTTTGTCTGCAATCAAATGGAATACCAACCTAAGCAGTCTAAAGCTTGTGTACTTGCGGATGAATTGGTCATCATGCCCCTTTCACATTTTTCACATTTGGTTGCCAAGGTGCTGGGGCCGTACTCCAGTCGAGAACAGGGAGTACATGGTTCTATTCCATCCAGGGAGTAATAACCTTTCTTACAAATTGCTGGAATATAATTAAAGGTATGCTTTTATAGCATTTCAAACATATATTGTAAAGTCGAATGCTTTAGGGAATACTTCAGAAATCGCAGTGTAAATATATCTTATACAAGGTTATTTACCAACACAGTCGATTGTTTGACTTATCACAAACCATTTATGTTTGAGTGACAATATATTGACATTGCTTATAGTTAATACTAGAAATACGAAGTACGGGGAAATATATTGTAATAGCTTAAATCAATATCTAAAATGCATTACCATACCATAGTTTTTTTAATCATTCTTATGGGTGTTAAAGACTAGAAATAAAACGGAATTGATGGTACTGACGACGACATTCGGTAGAGTTGACAGTTCCATTGGAGGGTGTCGACATTCCCAGGGGACATGATGAACAAGTCACATGGTCTTCATCGTCGCGGAACATTCCTTTAGGGCAAAGGACACACTTCTTAACCGTAGAATCGTACGTGGATCCCAATGGACACGATGCTGTGAATAACAATATATATGTATATACACACACATTTAATACTTTTTTGAAGCATTTATGATGTTTTCACAATATAGTATAATTTGACGTAAATCATATATTTTTTTCGATAACTTTTAAGTAAACATTGTTTTGCTCATGGAACTGGTTATGGTAGTGTAATAGTATTTAGAAGTAAAATTATATTTCTGGCATAATGTTTTGAAACGATAAGTTATTGCCACATTAAGTATAAGTACTTATACGTTAATGATCTTTACTGAATTTGGATAGGAAGCGTGCCTACCGCATGAAATGGTGGTAAGACGAGGATATCTGCCTGGCTCACACCGTATTCCGAGTTGCCCAAACTGCAAGGAATCAGTATCCAGGGAAGACATAGGAACATCTAATGATCCTGATCTTGCTCTATTCTCTATAATTGACCCCAGACCTTTAGCAAGAGTATCAAAGCGATTATAAGTATCCAAGCTAGAATTCCCAAGTGTTTTCCATTTAAGTTTTATATCAAATGACAACAGAATGGATGCCTGTTGTGTCTGACGTCTTCGTCTGATGTACTGACTACCACGCCGTCTACGAGTAGTGCCACAAGTGATGTCCACGTTCTGGACATTACAATATTGGGTGTTAGGACAGATGCCCTGCCATCCTGGATCTGATTGTAATGTCTGCATCTCTTGAATGAAATGTGCCTTGATGGTGTCTTGTGTTGTGCTGTCACTACATGATCCAGAATAATAGTATACCTCAGCCGGTAAGACGAAATTCGACGGATCTCGCCGAACTGGACAGATAAACAAGAAAGTGCGTAAAAAGACATAATCCTGCTGTCGTTAAAGAATTAATTGATAATTAATCTTGACATAAAATGTAGTTCTAAAAAACTTACATTCAATATTATTTTTTAAATATGGCTTTTAAGTCACCTTATAACCATTCGAATATGTCTTATTCAAAGTGGATTACTAACTTTACCTGAGCAGCCAGGAACTGATTCCACAGGGCTCCATTTTCCAGAACTGGTGGAACAAGTGAATTGTCCAGTAAACCTGGCGACGCTTCCTCCTCCTGCTGCCGCGGGAATGTCGTAATGGTCGTTACAGTGAAGCATACACTGCCTACCGAATGCCCACTTGTCGCAGGTTAGAGCTCCGTGAGCTGGAGCGGCAAGCGAGGGGCATTTGTTTTCTGAGTTCATATAAAAGATTATATAACAGTCTGATTAAAATCATCAGAAACATACCCACAGTAAATATCATTGTTTTAACTGTAAAACAGATAAATGCATACACTTTAAAGGCTACTGTGTGAATGTAAGTGTATTGGATATACGGTAAATAATACTGTAATTAATATAATATCACTACATCTGAGTATATACATCATTTACTTTGTATGCAATAAAAATATATTTTATTTCTTATTTTATAGTAGATAAACCATAACAGTGAGTAAAAGTGTTTAAAGCATTTGCCGGAAATTTGAAAGTACTATATTTTTTTCATTTTTTTTTTTCATTTTCAGCCAAACGCAGATAAATGATGATAAAGTAAAACATATATAAATCTACACATATCTATAACGTACATGCAATCAATCTTACGTTTACAATAAGGCTTTGGAACATTTCCCCAGTTCCAGTATGTGGACATTGAATTGGTTGAGTTCCTGTCACAATACATCTGGTCATTTCCTATGAGAGGGTAACTTCCACGACAGGACAGGTTACAGCTCGATCCGTATATAAAACCTCCGGGGCACGTAAGTTTCATGTACGGGTCCACTATAACAGGGGGATCGCACAGCAATTCTGCAATATATTACATCCTTTGAAAGATATAATATCGATAAAATATTCTAGACTTGGTAGAACTTCATACAATCCATTTTTTTAATCTTAAAATCTAACATTTTGTTAATAGAAAAAAAGGAAGGCGAACTATGTTACTTTGTTTATGCTTTTATAGAAATAATTAATGTATGTTTTAATAATTCAACTTGCAAATGATTGTCAATGCCGCCTGGTTCAAAGCAACCAAAATTGTATATATCACTGTAACGTCATAATATATATGTGCTACACGCCTAGGAGTGGAACCTTTTTCTAGAAATAATAATAGCAACACATAGTCAAGGAAATCCAACCGATGCTAGAGTAGCTCAATCTTAATGTTTATATCCTATACAAACAACATGGATATCCTAGATTCTAACAGATGTTTCACTCAAGTCTAATAGAGAACTACAATTCTCTAACGACATTCTTGTCCGAGGAATTTTGTTTTATACTTGTATTATATCTTTCGGTGAATCCTATTATTTTATAAGAACCTTTTCAGAAGGAACTGTTCCCCAATTGCATTTTCTGGATATTCTTCGAGCATTTAGCCAAGGCTACTATTCCTCCCCAGATAACAAAATTACCTCCATGACCCAGTACCGAGGGCTACAACGTGACACCAGACAAAGGCTAGCTGGAATCGACTTCATGGAAAAAAGTGCCTGGGGTCAAGTATTATATCCAGAAGTCAAGTACAATAGGCGACTGTTAAATATATTATTCCAGAGTAAAGTGCGTTGTTAGGGACTGACAAAACTTCATAAAGGTCTATACAAGCACGATTTACATTAATTGACATATGCTATATTTAACTCTTCTAGAAGTAACGTTATGATGTCAGTTAAATGACACTAAGAAAACAGCTTACAGGACGTACTTTCAACGATAACAAAAAATATGCATTCCGGAGATTTATTTCCCGTCCCATCCGTCGCTAAATAGCGGATTTCATGAAAGCCCACGCCAAACTGACTTCCGCTGGCCTTCCCGACCGTTTGTATTATTGTTACGTTTTCGCCAGAGTTGTCATTAGCTTTAGGGACATTCCATGTTACAGTTGCAAAACTGTGTCCTCTGCCTGCATAGTTGGTGTTACTTGTTGGACAGTCTATTATTTCCGGTGGTTCGGCATCTATGATAAGCAGGAATTTAAATATTATTGGATCCACAATCGTTAAACATCTGTTTCATATATACAAAAAAATCAATCAATCACATTGATACATGTGTTTAACCCGACAGGAAGGATACATATATGAATGGAAGGATGTTTTTTGCTGATGACGTTAACAAATGCGATATACACTTACCAATACATTTTTCAATATAGTTTTTGTATGGAACCTGAACGCTTCTTTAGTATCACTACTTACTGAAGTATATCATATAGCTAAATTGCAAGTGAAAATGTTATTTAGATAGTTCAAGCAGCGCAAAACCACAAAAGTGTGTGTATATGAGTATACATACTAAATACTAAACATGTGTGTAACGGGAGTTTATCCCTGCGCCGGATCTAGCATGACGTTCTTCTATGTTCGTATACTGTATATATTGACTCTCTTCATGACAAGATTTGTTTACATTAGAAGTAACATACAACTAACAACAGAAATATCTTAATACTACCCTCCGACCCGAAAAATAACTTTACTCATCCAAACTATCAACGGATCAACTGTGAGCCCTAACTATCCTACCTTTTTTTTTGTTAGTCCGAAACAGAGTACCCAAATTGTGAGCACGCGCGGCTTTACACTCCCCAAACCCCCTATGCACACGCAGGCCTCGCAAGACCCTATTAACACTGTCCGTTAGGTGGTATTGCCTGCATGCACTAATTAGCGCCAAATAAGTAGTTATCAACGGTTCTTTTCCTAATTTCATCTATAAACCAAGCTAACAAAACCTACACAAACTGGTCCCAATCACATGCGTAATCCCTGGAGAATTATGATGTGATTGTGACGGATACAAACTATTTATTGTTACTTGCCCTGACAAGGAGGTAAAGTGGTGGACCAAGCACCCATGCTGGTGCACTTTGTCATCTGGAAACTATCTGAAGGTAGACTGTATCCTTTGTCACAGCGCGTGGCACAGACAGTGTTGTACTCAAACATAGAATCGGTACACGAGGGTTTCCCGTGGTTGGGGTGTATGCTTGGAGCAGCGTTGGGACACGAAACGACTAGAAATAAAGGAATGTGATAACACTGACCGAGTGAATTCAGTTAAAGGAAAAATACTCATTTTATGAAGAAAAATTCACAGGTATATACATTGTCCCTTTATGCGATATGTATATTGGTACCTTTACACTGAGCAGCATTTCCGGAGAAGGAACCACTGGCATTGCATCTTCTACTGGTATCGCCATTTAATCGATACCCGTCAAAACAGCTATAGGTGCAGTTAGATCCTGCTATTCTTTCGGGATTTTCACATTGTACAAAGCCATGACTAGGCCAATTCAGTGGTGTTTTGCATGTTTGAACTGAAATGATATCAACATATTGAATAAGACAGAAACTCTAGGTTGTAATATTCTATTGGTATATTAAGAACAAACCATATAGTAAATTGATGATACCTTCTACGGAGAAACTGAAGTACTTGGTGTCCATTAGTCCTCCTTTATCTTTTGCTTGGTATGTGATTATATGACTTCCCCGTTGGAACAGACTTCCAGATTCCTTACCTGAGACAATCGTAACTCTATAAAATAAAATAGACGTCTTAAATTAATTTAAAAGCTAAACCCTCTATAAAGGTAAAAACAAATACTATATGTAGTTTCAGGCTAACCTTCTATGTTGATGTTTTCAAAGTATCATTTTGGCACCATAATAATCAAAATCAGTTCCAATAAGTTTAGTATGAATGTGTAATTAGGTAATCATAAAGTTTATTGATTTTTAATCGATATCCACCACTTAACATTTCAACATTTCCTATGCACTACGAGGGAAAAATAGATGTATCAGCACTAAACATAAATTTGAGGTTTTTGAAGTGAAACCAAATTTTCATGATGTTATACCATAACTTTAGTATGCAAAAACAATACCTACACCCATCTTTGTAGCCCAAAAACATAAGATTCAAATATCGCGGCCTCCCTACCGTCACGTAACCCATATCTCGACGACAGAGCCACGGAGTGATCTCCCATCCTCAAACCCCTTTTATGGAGCCTAAAGGCAGCCGGGATGAAGTGGCAAGGGGAGGAATACAGGGTGGGACTCTATAAAGTTATGGTAAGTATTACATCATGAAAATTGGTTCTACTTAAAAAACATCAAATTCATTTCAGTAATAATAACCATAACTTTAGTATGTGAATTCGTCTTACCATAGGGGAGGCTTCGAATCCAGGCAGACCAGGCTGACGGAACAACGCGAGACATGCTCAAGGTAGGGAAAGGTTCAAAGACCCCCCCCCCCCCCCAAAAAAATAACGCCCCGAAATTAATTAAGAAATGGAATACCTCCCCGTGCTACGAGCAGGTATACCACGGAGGTGTCTGATAGCATACTAGTTAAAATCACTGAATGTGCAACCACCACCGGAATTTATCGGAATGAGAAGCCAAGGACCAGAGATAAAATCCGTGAAGGTAGTCTGTACGCGCCAGAAAGCAGCGGACATGACCTCCTGAAAGGAGTACCCATTGAGGAAGGCCCATGACGCAGCAAGGGCCCTGACCTCATGAGCTCTCACCTTATACGACGCCCGAACCTGATCATCTGAGTGGTCGTAGCAGTACT